TTTATTATAGTCTAAGAGCTTGAAGGCCTAGTATTGAATTTAGTTTAAGCACATACTGAGGGTCTTGATCAGAACTAATTTGTGTGATAAACAAACCGATTTTAGTCGAAGTAAATTGATTAGAGGCGAAATTGAGTAACCGTTTACGGTTAAATAGGCTAACGAGGACTCGTTGATATCGATAAGACAATTTGTTAATTTTATTATAAGCTCCTGTATTTACCCGATCGATGAAGTAAGATAATGTTTATGTAATCCAAATGTGTCATCATAGAAACTATGTAACGTCCATAAGAACAACCTTAAATTATGCTACAGGGTTTCCACTCAGTACCGTATTATAGCAATGTTTCGCCTGATGCTTGAAGAGGAACGTTATTTTTTTTATTTTTATTAACAAATGTAATTTAATAATAATAATAATATATATTGTTATTATCATATTAGTAATGTTAAAATTATTATATATATTATTATAAATTATTATGTTTATATATATTTTTATAAAACACGTTATTGTATCAGGCGACATTATGTTTTATAAATAAATCACAGTAATCTATCGCATCCTTTCACTTTTTGTTTTTATTAATATTTTTTTTTTATTTTATGTATATCCGTACACTATTCGTATTTAACTATTATTTGAATATAGATATGAGATATAGCATTTAACAGCTATGTTTTAAAACGCTAGAGTCGAATAAATCTGAACTATTAGACATTGAAACTTCAAACGTGCCGTAACTTCGCCAAAAACATATTGTGCGGTGTCTTTCAAATAAAGTTTGATGAACATGGGAAACATTTTATCCCTAACTATATTGAGTTCACTATGTCTTATATTTTCTTGTTGTCATGTCTTATGATATTTTAGACAAACACATATATTCTATTTTTATAAAATAGTACATCGGTTATAGCTGAGTTGCACAACGTTTGATTCCGGTCCAGAGTCCCAAGATCGAATATTAATCCTAACTATTCCATAAAGTTTTTCAAGTCCTTATTTGGATTATTTAAAAATAAAACACGTGCACTTCATGCTTCGGAGTGCACGTAAAGTCTTCATTCGGAAAGTCACGTTCAAAATCGTAAGTATAATAGGGTGGTAGAAAAAATGCCACGGGCTTGAGGGACCCCTGCTTTGAGAGGTCATGAGTACAGGAAAAATATAATACTTATTTATTACAAAAAGTACTAAATTTATTATCATATTAACTGTTAACTACTGAACATAGGCCAGTAGTTGCCGCGCTTGACAAGCGGGTTGGCAACCGTAGTTAGGCTTTGGTGATGTTTCAAGAGGCACGCTCCGGCCTATTCCATGACCATTAAGCTCCCTTAGTTATCTCTTAGGACACTCACTGGAAAGGAAAGGTTGGCGCATTCTATACCGAGATTACATGGAAATTTACTTATTACATTATTTAGTAAATTAAAAATATTAGATGACTTTAAGAATTAGAGTAGCATATTGTATAATTACGCCGACGATCACGTCAAAGGATGTGTGTGTAACGACAGTGTTCTAGAAACTTGTCATTCGAGGCAATCCATATTATCTCTACATCAGTAGTAGTTAGCAGTTATATTTTTCATTGAAGATATTTCAAATTCCATTCATGTTTATAAAAAAGTAGTTACACTAGTAACTACTTTAGTGTTACTAAACAGTCAGACAGCTGTCGAAACAACAATAGATATCTATAATTTACGGAACCAGAAAAAAAAGAAAAACAATCATTGATAAAAACATGTATTATGCTAATTTGTATTGCCGTAGCTTACAAAGGGAGCGGGAATAAAAAACAAAACTTATTTGTGCAGAGTAAAAGTAGAACGCGTTTATTGCCAACAGTGTTTGTAAAATTAAACAGTTTGTTTGGTATTCATTAAGAGAAGCTTCTCTATTCTTATATGGGTCATTGCAACTTTGTGTTTTGTTCCTCTAAATAATTGTGAATAGGATGGATTATTCTAAGATTTTTTTTTGTATTAGGTGTTAGAAACTAACAATAATTTAATTTTTCTTCTGGTAATTTGAAATGTAAATAATAAAATATTTTAATATTGCAACAAAAAAAGAAAACAGTCTGCTTGATAACGCGTCTCTTTGTAAACTGTTTTCTTGCTAGCAACTAAATTATTTATTTTATTTATTGATGTAACTCTTTATTGCACCATAATTAAAAATATACAATGACAAGTGAATAATTCAAGTGAAATACAGTAACATAAATACAGATTGAAATATACACATAAAGGTACAAAAGGCGATCTTATCGCTAGGGCAATCTCTTACAGACAACCTTTGGTTAAAGGAGAACAGATAGAAATTATTATTCATTCCATGCTTTCAATTTCATCACGTCAAATCTATTATCACTAGTGACTCTCCACCACCTACCGGTATAAGAGTCATATAATAGGTTGTATTTTTAGTGTAAGTACTTGAAATGATAGGCGACAGTTTAATTATACGAGTATTTTAATAGAATATTATGGATTTTGCATTTAGCTGCTTGTATAAAGAAATGTGTATTAGTGTCCAAGGGTTTTGGACTAATTAATGTTATGACATTAATTTTATTTTGGCTGTAACGTTTTTTATAGTGAGGGATAGGTGAGAATTAAAAGGATTAAAACATCTAGCACGATATCAATTCATAGCATAGCAATTCAGCACGATAGTTTCCAAGAGGACCACGCGGAGGTCGACCTAACAGGGTATATTGCTAGCAATTGGACTGATAGTCCACATTACTAACAATCCCTTCTCTTCCGGCTGCAGATTTTGTTCACTATGAGCATTTTTCAATAATTCTGACGAATTATTTTTTTGTATCTCTATTTTCATAAATAAAGTTTTAATTTGAAATGCAATGTCATATCATCAGAACTAAAACACTATAGTTTTTATGTCATTTTCATTCTTTATTATAATTATATAAATTACATTTTTCACCTACAACATTACAACACCTCTCATACTCATGTACACACACACATGAGAGATGCAATTAACGACATTGTACCTGTATTTTGTATTATCTAACAGTATAATTATCTCTGTCATTATTCAATAAGCAAAAATTGTGCACAACAAAAAATAGATTTCAGTTGTGACAACACCAAATATATTGATCTAAAAATTAAACTACTGATCCGATTTTAATATATTTTTTAAAACCAATCTGTAAGTATGTCTCTTTAGATAAAAAAAGAACTTTCACAATAGGTTTAAAACTGATGGAATTATGAGGTAACAAATACAAAAAAAAACCTAATTGAGAAGCTTCTTCTTTTTTAAAAATCGTTCTTTGGTATTTATTAATGAAGACCAGACCACAGCTTCTTTTTTGACATGTACTTAAGTGGATTAGTTAAAAAAACCATTGTATAGGTTTTCCTTTTAGTACCTACCTACATATTATTTATAGGGTAAAACAATCTTTGTTCATTCATAAACTTTTCAGCTAAAGAGAACGAGAGCCATTTATAATTAGGCAGTGGTACATAATGATTTATTAATTTCCCGTTTCATTATATAAGTAAACGAAAAGGAAAAACTTCAGTAATATTTGATCGCATTAAATTATGTTTATTCTACTCTCAGAATTATCAACTAATTGGAGTTTTAAGGTCGGACTGGCTCCGGATAGGCGGCACATAAAAGTTTCGACAAATCTGTTATGAGGAGCATTTTCTTGAATGGTAGATAAAAATGGAAGAAAACAACGGTTTATGATTATTTACATAGAAAATTATTCATGAAGGCAAGGAAAGAAATAATTGACACAAATTATGTCGTTAGCATATTTATATTATTTAAAAGTATGTAGATAATGGGGAAACAAGGAGACAGGTCGCATAGAATCAAGTAGCCATAACTAAATAAGTAAGTAAGTGTATAATTTATATAGGACTAGAGAGATATACAAATCAGTGTAAGTTTGAGGGAAAGGCACGCCAAGTTGTTAAGCAGGGAATGCATGTCGTTTTGAATAATTCAACGATTTGTTCCCTTTTTGCAAATTCACAGTTTGTACCTTGTTTTGTTTTAGAACATTTCCTAGTAAAATAACTAAGTAGAAGGGGAAATTCAAATTGGTAAGTTTTGTTAAAGGCACAATAAACTAGAGTTTGAATCCACTGGATTAGCTATAATAAGTAGTTAGTAAATACATAAACAAAACTCGATGATGGAGCAGGAAGAAAAAAAAACAGAAGGATGTTGTCATAAATTAAGAATAATACCTTGTTATAATAACTTTGAAGTGTCTGTGTCTGTCTTTGACATCATTGTTCAGACCAACTAACTTTAGAAATATTTTTTCTTTGAACTTTGGGAAATCGGAATACTTTGTAAAATGTAATAACTGCGCTAAGGATTTTTGAATTAAAATTGAATTAAAATTAAGAAAAAAACCCGGTATTTTTTTTTTATTTACTTATATTGCTTTTGAAGAGATATTGTAGATTGAAAAATATATTTTTTAGAACTACGCTGCAAAGAACGTGAATTCAATTTACACTTAGCCGGTTTTATATTGGTGATAAGATTGGATACATCATAATCCTGGAATAGCATCCTGCGACAAACATGTTAGAAAGTAAATCCTTTCTATTTAACCAAACTCCTCTTTACCTTTTTGTGTAAAGGGCATTATGTTGTTGAACACGATAAAGAACCCATTAAAATTCGTTTCGAGGAATTATGCAAATAAGATTGTAAGCGCCCGCTAACAAGATAGGACGCTCGCAAAGATTGTTGCTAAATTCAATTCAGTTCGCCTGTTGCTCGCCTTTGTATTCCTTCCTACCTGTAAAGGCAAATTGTATGAAGGTCCATTGGCCTAAGGAAACAAAAAGATAAAACACATACCTACTGATTGTTTTATTATTCCAGTATTATACTTTCTTTCATCTTTTTTCCGGGGACAGTATCGTATATCATATCTAGTAGCTTTTTTAAGGGTAAAAATAAAAGACAGATATAGAATTTAGATTTATTTTTTCAACCTAACATTGTCGTAACTTTCGTAACTTGACAGATCACCAGCTAAGTTTAACAGGTGTACTCATCTAATGAACATTGTTCATACTTCTTAAAATTATCATACAGTCAGTACCGAAAAAACAATTACTCATCATTATCACGAGATTTACTTTTATCACGAAAATGCTATTCTTATTATTTACTAAATTCCCTTTAATCAATTCTTTTAAGTGTTAATGAAATAAAATTATATGTATTCACGGTTATTTCTGACTAAATATTACGTAATACAACACACTTTATTGTTGCTATTTAAATTTGAACATGAAAGCATGTTAAATATCCGTAAAAGTAGATTAGGGTGGAAGACATCGTATAATTAAGAGATAGTACTAAATGGAAGGCTAAGTTAAACAAGACAAACTTATATTATCAGAAATCTTTCCAAATGCAATTAGAATAAATTGTAGTAACAAAAGCAAAGATTAAAGCTCCAACTTTATCCTGTTCATTGAATATTAAGTTGAATAGTTTGCGCATTCGGAATGCTAATACATAAATTCAATCTGCCTTCGGAGTCTACCTTACGTTACAAATTTTTCACATGACTTACAACGAAAACTTAATAAAGTCTCAACAAGATTTATATCATGTATCTACCCTTCAACTCCTACAGTATACATTTAAGAGTCTACCCACAATCAACTCCACAAGCTAATACGTTAGAAATAGGAAAGGCACAGTCGAAGTATAAAATTTATTGCTGACTTCCCTAACTAGGTCTCGATCGTCACAACTAGGGCCGCGTAGTCCCGCTGCCTCTCTTAAATAAGTATAGCAGTTAGCTTTTAAAAAGAAACTTCCGTTATAGCTACTTTGGCATTCATCGTCTCTGCGCTATGAAGAAGTTTAAGCTCAAGTTAAAAAAAAAAGCTTTATGTAAGTGAACAATTTTGAAAATATTAAAATTTACTTATAGATTTAAGTTACTTGTAGATTTGGCACGGCTAACGATAAACTGCTAAAATATGAATAAAAATTCACTTACGTTAAAACTGTCAGACCATCATCGTTGACCATAGTTATTGTAATGGTGAATCTGCGTTTGTTTATTCATGACTAGTAATAATCTACGGCCTAATTTTATGTGCGTATTTGCCAGTTATTCGTCTAAATTACGTACATGTACTGTAAGAAAATAGGATTTATTTATATTCAGAAAATATTATATTTCATTCTAAGAGAGTGATTAATACTCAATTCACGAACGATTGGTTCTGTTTTTGATAACTATACTCGTAAGATTGTCATAAATCTAGCTAGTAACAATCACTATGAGGCTACACAGTCGTTGAGTACAAATTCCTTTGGAAGTGATAACAACTAAATATTCACAACAAAATAATGATAGGCTTTTTTCCATATCGTTGGATTACACTTTACATAAATTCTAATTTTCAATGATTAGAAACCTGTTCTTAAGATGTAAATAAAATCTAACATTTAACTGACACACGGTTATAACAACGCTATTCAACTGAATTGCTAATTATAAATAGAAACTATTTATCACTTACTACAAACCAATATTTCGTTGAGGTTCTTTGGAAACTCTTAGAGTACCTCTTATTCTTTTATTTAATTTATGAATAACGAATAAAACTTTAACAGCAAGCACCGTACTAATAAATTATTTAATAAAGTTACGAAGTGAACTTAATAGCTCTCGTAGAAAACATCCCACCACAACAAATTGACTAATTCTAACTCCTATCTAGTTTTATACACCTTAACATAAATTTATTATAGTCTCTTTATAATTTAGTTGAACCGGCCGCAATTGGAAAAGTAAGACTTGGTTGAGGGTTTGGAAGTTAAAAGTAGGAAACAATCACATCGAAATGTCACAGATACTTTCACTCTGTCGGTTGAAAATTGTGCAACGCTAAAGTATATAGTCAAAAGATGAGTTCGTAAAAATCGTCACTGTGTCACTGTTGCGCAACCGAGTTCAAACATTTATCGTTCTTTGAGCACACAATATAGATGAGAAGGAGCTTGTGAAGGGAAGAAGAATACTCAGGTGTCACTTGATGTGCCACCTAAATATAGACTTCGTGATGTTGCTGCGGCCGGCCTCGCCTGGACTAGGAGCCGCGTTCTGATAATTCTACGACGTCCTCTGGCTCAGGTCTTGCCGCATCTATCTTTCGTCTTTCGGCTATCACTATTCGTATTTTTTCTTCTTCACTAATAATTTGCTCTCCGCACTCGAGATTTATTTGTGAATGAGGCCGTAGCGATGAGTGTGAAGCCTCACTAGTTACAGCTGACTCTGTAGATAATCTTCTTTTGGAATTTATCCTAATATTTTGTCTCGACGATGGGACAGCGAGGAGTACGGGAGCTGGTCGTAGAAGTCTAGCCTCTTCGCCTCGTAATGAATTCCTTTTATCGACCCGTTGTCTACGATTGTTAACAAAGGAATCTCGCCGAGGTGGACTACCAGGTTCTAATTCGTCGATGTCATCAGCATCAATGAACCTGGCGTCTTCTTCATACAATGCTGCCGGGGGGTCCGATATGGAGTCCTGTCGACGTCGTCCAAATGCATGAGGAGATAAAGAAGCCCTTCTTGGCGGTAGCGATGTCGGCAACAAAGCGTGGTGAGAGTGCAATGTGCGTCGGCGGCGTGTGGGGGACGGTGCTGGTTGCTGTTTTGGCTCACTGTAAGTGAAGTTTGCTGGAAGGGACGGTACCTTGTTCAATGGTCGCGGCGGTGATACGCATTCTTCTAGAGCTCGGCATAAAGCTCTATCTTCTTCGTCATCAGCTTCCCGTTCCAACTCTCGTTCTAATTCCACATCCATATCGATTTCATCTTCCATTTGTTTATGGGACTCTTCTAGATGTTTCATTAAAACCTGTAATAGAAAATAACATGTTAATTATAGGGTAAATAATTTTTTTATCGCAAAATCCTTAAAACATCCTAGATGTATTTACTTATTCAGGCTATCCATATATTTACCTCGTTTTAGTGCTATGTTTTGTCTGAATCATTGCATTTATATAAATCAATATTTGTTGAGGGAAATTAATAAATAAATAAAATAAAATAAAATCGTATTGTATGACGCTATTATAAATTCAAGGTAGAGGTATTTTTGCATAACTGTCATTATCATTGTTATGTACCATGTATGAATGTTCTCTGTCAGAATTTTAACTACTTAGCCCTTTCAAGTTTATTTTTATTTTTTTTGTTATACTTATTACATATTCACAGAAAGTTATTTTATGTTTTGATACTTACAGCAACAACAACGTTGACAAGCACAAACTGTGCCATGAGTACAAACACGACGAAGAATATCGGCGCAATAATGGTGGAGACGCAACAGTTACGGACGCAGTCTACAGAACTGTCACAATCTTCTCTCAGGGTGTCCTTCATAATGCCGTTCCAGTTGTCACCGGTTGCCACACGGAACAATGTGAGAAATGCCATTCCGAAATTGGCGAAGTGGGCGTGTTCACCAAGACCTGCAGAATATTAATATCACTGTTGACTTGTATTAAATCTACATATTGATCCTGATCTAAGTTAATAGAGAGAGAAAATTTAACCAAATATTTAAGAATTCATAATTTGAAACTTTAATTTCATGTGGTAGTGTATAAGGATATAAAGCGTCACAATTTCTTTCTATCTCCAGGATACCGCAAGGAAATTTATAGCAAAAAGTATAGTTTATCTATTAAGAATAGGAAGTTTTAAATGAAATCCTATACCGAACCGTTTGGCTTTATGAGAAGAAACCCGTATCCAACAGTACAACCTTAAAGGGCTGTAGAGGTTACAATTAAGTTGTGAAAACTTTTTTTAATTACCTTAAAGAATTTATTTTCTCTTCTAAATAAACATTGAAATGTTGAATAAAGTAAATAAAAATAAAATAAATAAAGCACTTACCTTGACATGGAATTTCATCAGAGCACTCCAATCGTCCGAACAACTCTACGCCTAAGGCAGCGAAAATGAAAAAAAGCAGAAAAAACAAAAGCCCCAAGTTTCCAACTTGCGGTAACGCTTGCATCACAGTATCTAACAGTGCTCTAATGCCTTTTGCCATTTTCAGTAACTTTAATACTCTAGCTATTCTTAAAACTCGCATAACCCTCATTATGGTCGGGTTAATAGGAATTATATTTGTCTCTAACTCTTCTAAAACTATTCCAACTATGGACAACATAACAATTATAACGTCTAACTGATTCCATTTGTCTTTTAAATATATTTTAAAACCTAGTGCCACCAGTTTCATTATTGCTTCCAGTATAAACACTGCTGTGAAGAAATAATTGAAAATTTTCAACGCGTATTCAAGAGCTGGTGGCATTTTGTAATATTCTATTGCCATTGTGACTACGTTGAGACCAATAACACCAGCTATTGCTAAGTCGAAATATTTCGATGTAACGACATTGTGGACAAATAGTCGTGTTTGTGAGTAGTCTGAATAATATGGCCGTTGATGCATTTCTGAAACAAAGGAAATCATAAATTTATATAATTTTTTTAAAGTAACTTGAAGATTGCGGCTTACCACGTGTGTTGAGGTTTCGATTTCTATGGATTCGGGTATAGTGAAGTCTTGGCGATTATTTCATGTTTTTTGTAAGGTTGTGAATATTGAAATAGAACATCGAATAGAGCATCGGTATCGTTCAAAATAAAAAAAATATTTCGCTGTATAAAAAATCATTTTGTATTGTTTTATCATCAAGATTACAATTATGAAGAATTACAAGTATAATTAAAAATACGAAAAAGGGAAACTTCAATTTATATGTTATCAAATTATATATTATACTCACTTCTTCTCTTCTTCTCCATCTGCAGCGCTCTTTTGGCTGCTCTCCGGACTCTTTCTTCTTTCTCTTGTTCTTCTCTGCAACGGTGGAAGTTCTCCACCACCACACCCACGAACATGTTTAGCACGAAGAAACCAACCAGTAGAATGAACGCAATGAAGTATAATAGCCGCCATTCAGAATAATTCACTATTGGCTGCAGAATAAATATATATATTAATAGAATAATATAGTTTAATCAGCAGAAAATTAATTATAAACTTTAATATTTTAACAAATGATACATTGACTTAGACATAAATTAAGCAAATTTGAAGTTGACTAGGTATTCTTTCATTTATCAAAAAAGTAATAAATAATAAACATGTTCGTAAATATTGCATACGAAAGTTTACAAATTTCACTTTATATATATGATATACAATAATTATAGGTATATAAGTATATAAATTGTTATTAATTCTTACTAATATTATGTGAAAGTGAGTTTGTTTGTTACCTTATAGTTCCTTAACGGCTTACTTAATTACTACGAATTTTAGAAAACACTATATGAGATGGAGAAGAATATGAGCTATTTTTTATCCCGGTAAGTAGACCTATTTCGGTAACGCGGACGACATCGCGGGTAAAAGCTAGTAATATGAAAAAATAGGATTATAAAACTTACTTGTTGATCCACCCCCACAGCGTCCAATCCTGTATACATAATATTAACCCATCCATCCCTAGAGCTCAATACAAACAGCGACATCAGCGCTTTACCGAGATCATCGAAATTGTACTTCCGATTCACCCATACATTCCCTTCTATCGCGAGACAGTCGGATTTGTTCTTGACATTTTTAATATTCGCCCCTTCGCAATAGAAGAACGCTCCCTTAAATAACTGAAAACATTAAATATTAATGACAAAGTTCAAAGTCTGTTACAAACTTTTGATGTTTCGTATTTATTAATTACCAACTGTTTCTGTGAGTTGTCCGCGTGAATTTTGATCGTAAATTATATCACCCTATGCATTTCGCATTACAGGGCAAATAATAAATAGTTGGACGTGAAACGTCAAGATATTCAGAATTAAATTGAAAATCTTAATTAAATTTGTATACAAAGTATATCCCAGTAATATTTGAAATTTGAAAGTTTGTAAAGATATATAGATGTTTTAAACGGCTTCAAATTAAATTTGGTACACAGGTAGATTTTATCGTAATTAAATATTAAGTATACTTTATTTACGCGGAAAAAGACGAGAGAAATAACTAGTATATATATATATATATATATATATATATATATTTCTCTTCAAGAGTTTAGTTATAATACAAACAAAAAAAATCTTTTTTATAACATACGAGTATATATATATATATATATATATATATATATATATATATATATATATATATATATATATATATATATATATATATATATATATATATTCTAGTTATTCTACTATACGACTTCGAAATAAATTCAACTATATCTATTTTATAACTAAGGCTTCTTAATAAAAAATGTCTCTAATGTTACCTGAACACCCAATATGCCGAATATGATGAAAAATGTGCAACAAATGAGTACGATGTTCCCGATGGGTCGTAACGACGAGAGCAATGTTTGGACGACCAACTTTAATCCTGGCGCCCGGTTAATAACTCTCAAGGGCCTCAAAGATCGTAAAAGTCTAAACACCTAGACGAAAAATAAAATTAAACTGTTTTTATGTTCATTAATAAGTAATTACAGTTCTTGAGGTACGTCATATTCATCCCACGACGACTTATTTCCTTGTGTCGTGGGAAATTCCTAAATCCATTTTCAGTGCTCTTTTATGTTAAATAAGGAAATATTGTATAAAATTTGATTTCAAAATTTTTTAAATAACAGTACTTTTGATTGTACATTGATAAGTTCATAATTTTTTACTTTTGTAAACGTATATATATTTATAGTTTGAATTAATAACTAATGTCTATTGAAATTATTACAGATGTACAGTCTACATGAAATTAATAACAATTGGAAATCATTAATTAATTGATTTTTAATTTGTTAAATAAATAAATAAACAAACAGACGAAACAAATTCTTAATAAATGTTTATCGATGATTTCGTTGCATTACAATACGGTTGTATATTAGATCCGTGATAGGTACTTATCTTATAGAAAGAATATGTCATTATTGGACATTAGTACACTGTCTTTTTTGCAGATTAATTGGTCAGTTGTTTATATTTTTATCAAGTTCACTTGAAACAGATTATAGATAGAATGAAACATCATGGAAGATGATAGAATCCAGAAGTTCACAAACAAAATAAACTTACCCTGAGAATCCCAAAAATACGGGGGCTTGACTCTGACACTAATGACATTAGCAAATCGATAATAGATATAATGACGAGTGATCCGTCCATTATATTCCAACCTGATGTAAAATATGCTTCAGGGCCGTAGAACATTCCAGATGCAACAACCTACGAAAGTATCAAAACAAATTTGCATTCGATATTTCATGTCGTTTCTGTTTTAATATGTATTTTAGGCGACATCAAAGAGGATGAGGTTTTTAATTTTGTTGCGTATATCATACGATATTTTCACCAATTTTATATTTAATGTATCCAATTTAAAAAGTGTCGAATACAGCATATACTCATAAAAATTTGGCAGTATATAATATATTGTGTTCTTTATGATCTGAGTTATTTGCCAGCGTATGTAAAATTTCTTGTTAATAATGCGTCGCCCTCTAGTCAAACTAAATAAACCTTGTACTTTGGGTACCAAACAGCTAATAGACGTGTTACAAATTACTTTGCATTTTTTTGCAAATGATAATATCAGTTTATTTTAGAGTTAATGATACAATCATTTTGATTAATAATTCTACAAGTGTATATTGAAAATAAATATTGTGCTTTTTCTTGAATTAATATCCGAAATAAACAGTAAAAACTGTTATAGTTTGTGGCTTTTAAATGGCGGGAATTAAAGCGATAATTTAGGTAAAATATACCTAACCATTAAGCAAGAGTTATCTCGACCTTTCGAAAAAGTTACACTGGCCGTGGTCACAACTGATGTAGCCATGTCACGCCTCCATTTCCGAGACAGACGTATATATATATATATATTTTACCTAAATGATCGCGTTAATTCCCGTTTCCTAATACTAGTGACAGATTCACCAATAGGCTAAGTTGGAGTCTAGGGCAGGAGATATTAAGGGTGCCAATTTTAGAATAAAAAAAAATATAAAGTTATAATTTCATTAAAAAAAAATGCAATTAATATAATTGTGAACAAGAATATTAGATGCATTGACGACTCAAACGCATTGCAGGGAATCAGTGGATGTAGGTGGTTTAGAATCGTTCATTATGGCAGTCTATGCAGGAAGCTTATGTTTGGCAGTGGACAGGTAGTGGCTGAAATAATGATATGATGAGACCAGGCTAAATATACTGGCGGTAAATATGGGAGTCCGTCACTGATAAACAATACAAGGCTAAAGTATTAATGTTATAACTTCTACATTACGACACATATCATAGCAATTGTTGTAATATCCACTAATGGAATATCAATATTTGGGCATCAAACGTTTTCATACGTAATGACTTTTATTGATTTATTATAGTTTGTTCTGGCTCGTTGGTTCGAAATCCTTCTTTACAGCTTGACTAATGATCAGGCTAACTCCGTCTATGAATATAGATTATATAATAATTGTTATGTAATTTACGTATGGATATTTTTTTATGCAAGAATGACAATATTATAATTAAAGATATAATTTAGATATATTATTAGTTCAAAACATATTCCAATTGAATATACTATAATGAATTACTTTCAAGTAGGTTAAAATGGCACGTTCCTATTGGTTACATGTTAATATACAACTAGTAACTAAAACGGTGGCCAGATTTAATTATTAAAAAAAACATATTATATAATCCATATTTAGATATAATTAAAAATAAACAGTAAAGATAAGCATCAGTATGTATTATTATGCTCTATTTATTTTTTTCATTTAAATATATTGAATATAGGAATTTTGTGTAATTTTTATATTTCAACATAATTTTGTAATATTATTTCTTTTATATACTGAGTAGTAAATATATATTATGGTAACACTACTCACGCATATATGGATAAAAAAATTTACCTGTAGTTTTGAAGCATTTGTATTTATACTATTTATATAATCTAAGGCACTAAAATAAAGTAGAAGTTTTAATAAGAACCAGTTGTGTCTATATATAATTGAAGTGTTTGTAATATTTGCGATATATATTATAATCACAGATAACATAAAAAAGAAAGTCTGACCTTTATAAACATTTCAACAGCAAACACGGCGGTGAAGACATAATTGGCACTGGAGAGGAACGCTCGTTCCTTGGAATCAGGTGGTATATTCGGCCGCTCCATAGCAAGCGTTATGCAGTTCAATGCTATGAACAACAGCACGATATTGTCGAACCAGCTCCGTGTCACCATCCATGTACAAAACCTCCGCATTCTTGACAAAAAAAAAAAAATTAAAAACAATTACTTTCTAATATTACTAAGTCAGTATCGATATATGTACATAAAATCCAAGATGACTACAATAAGAGGCTGAGAAGCGGTACTGAAAATAGAGCGCATTTAAATAAATTATGTGCAACTTTACAGCCAGTTGCTGCGAAATTTTTATAAATTTTGCAGAAAAATATAAATATAAATATGGATAAAGCGTATTGCTTTATACTTTCGTTTTCGAATCCATTAATGTCTTGTTTTACAATAACTATTTCGTTTCAATTTATACCACACAATACCTAAATACGGAAAAGTGAAACTTGGGTTTTTGTACATCAATATTGGCCTATAATAAAATTAGGTCTTCACGCTCTCATAATTAATAATTGACGCATATAAAGTGTGTCGGATCGTACACTGAATATTCATAATCCACAGGTGCTTACCACGGTTATTTATCTGTCATTATATTATAATTATATTTTTACTAATATCATACATGTGAAAATGAGTTTGTTTGTTTGTTACCTCTTGGTGCTTTAACGACTCAATCAATGATCATAAAATTTGGTATACACGCTATTTAGAATGAAGGCGGAATTAAGTTACTTCTATATTCTATTCTATCTATGAAGAAGCCACGAATAAAATGTAGTTTACAAATAGCAATAGGTAATTCAACTGTAATAGGTAGCAACTGTATGTATATCAAGTTGTGTAAATACATAATCACGAATATACACAAATTGTGTAAATACACGATTACGATTAATCTAAATTAGCATAAATAAATATTTAGCACTTTAATTAAATTTAAGTTTTGATTCAGTTAGCTTGTAATGGCTTGTACTATATTGTGATATGTGGCCATAATACGCAGTCTGGCAGCATTGTAGTGGTTATTAATTTGCCTAATTACACGACGTATACATGTGTTGTGATACTGCTTTTACATGTACCTCTACAGTTAAGCCTAGGTTGAACTGTTTTAGTAATTAAATATGCCTGTTAATTAAAAGTATTCTGAACTAGGCTAAAGCAACTTTCGAGTATCGTTTAAAAATCGAGTAAATTTTGATATAGCGATGAGTAATTTAGAAGCTAAATATCAGACATTTTTAGCTGCTAAATTATAAAGAAAATTTCTGTTGAGTATTTTTTGGTAATTTATGTACTCGTTTCTTAAGTAAATTAATAAAGCAGTCTGAATTATTAGATCTAATTTTTTAGTGGCCAGTACTCGTTTACAATTTTTCGTACATACATAATTTTCTAATAAGTTTTAGTTCTACATTAAATGAGGATTGATGTGTTTATTATGTAGAACATTCAATACATTACCAAGCTGACATATTTATTATATTTATTTGTATAGATGTCTAAAAATCGTGTTATTTACAATTACGCCGAATCAGAGGTGAATAAACGTGCTGGGCACATTTATGAGATCGATCACTGAAAGCTTCCGCAAGTAATGTAATATCTATTTGTGTTTTTATTATGATGGATTACATAAGAGAAAACGTCATATTGCGACTCAGAATCTACTTCTTATTTTTTTATGATACGTGCGTCATTAGTATAAGGAAGTATCGAATGTGTATACTCGTATAAACATACGTCTATGTCACTTCCTACTGCTATTGAGGTAGGCAGTAACAATAGAATGTCAAATGCTTTGAATCAAACCTCTTTTGCATTCTCTACATTCATCAATCTATTCATACAAACTCGTCGGTTGTAGGTCTTTTAACTTGACCCTTTTCAGTATGTCACCTATTTGGTCGACATACGCACATCTACAGCGAGGTCTACCGATATCTTCACTCATTGGTGACCGATAAATCTCTTTCGTAATTCTGTATTCAGCAATTTTCTCCAAATAACCAAAGAAACACAATACTCCCTTTACAAAATTATGTATATATGTTAAGAGAACTCACTTATTGTCTGGAGAAAATATGTAGAGGGAATAGTCTTCTACTTCCTTGAGACACCCAGTTGGCTCCATGAATCGGAAAAGATCTTTGAATCTAAATCGCCTTCTGTCGAACCTTCCTGATAGTATGCAAGTATTATTATTTATCGCGACCTGCAAAATATAAATTAATTAGAATACATATAGAAATGCTGATCTCTATGGTTATTCTGGATTTTTTATATGAAAAACATGCCTGGGACCTACCCCAAAATTTTAAGCAAAAGATTTGGGATTCGAAGAATTTTTGATGGAATTTCGCATTACATTATATAACTGAAATTGTTGGTCCAATCAAATTTGTTTGGTGTTCCAAACAAATTTGGTTGACTTACGAGTTTTATGAGTTACTCGGTAGGATTGAATGGCAAATGAACCGACCGATAGAATCTAACAAAGTTTGTATTAGGAAATTTTCAAATTTTTGATAGAAATTTGGAATTTGACATCAGTCAATTCATAGTAGATCCCCAAGTCCTTAAATTGGTATACCTAGTGGCGAAACTAAGTAACGGTATATATTAACAATGCTAAATATTACAAGTTTAAATAATTTTAATAATCAAATAGAAGTAGAGACACTTTCAATACTCATACTTTACAAAAGAGGTATTTAATAAAAGTAATATTTCTATTAGGTATCTCTCAGTTACGTTATTTTCTAACCAATATAATAAATATGAAACTCGATATATGGATTCTCTAAATTTTTATGTTTAACTAGCTGAATGTATTTGAATAAAATTTCCATGATACATTTTATTACAATTCACGCGAGCAAAGCTGTGTGTTACGGGCTAGTTTATAATACAATATAACTGAAATACCTCTTCGTTGATTTGTTTGATTAAAGGCAACGACTGGTTGTTCGGTCTGGATGTTAGTGGTGATTCATTTCGGGGCTGGCGCGTAGCTACTTGAGCCACTTGTGCCGGTAGAGGCGTTAGGTTGCTCGCTTTTACCTCCGACACTGACGTCACTGTATTTTTCAAAATAGCAAATACATATAAGTTACTCAATAATTTTGATTATATTGGTAAAGAAAGATGGCATGCAATTTTCTGACGAAGAAAACGTTGATAAAATTTGTGATGTTTCCCACTAGAATTATTAAATTATTTGAATAATTCTAATTTTTTATGTATTGTTTTATGTAATTTTGTATTTAATTTTACAGCATTTTTTGGATGTATTTTATTGATGAAAATTGTATTAGAAATCTTTATTAGTAGGAATCATGAAATAAAATAATCTTCAAGAATAGAAAAGTTGACTTTTACAATTGTCATTGAACTAGATAATCCTTTGACTCGAGAACTATTCCTTATTAAGTATAATTATTATAATAGTATTATTTATTAGAATTATTTATAAATATATTGTTTAAGATATCACTATATATTTTTGTTATGTTTAGACTAGAAAAAAATTATAATAATAAATGTAACTGTACACATTCGTTATAAAATTTTTGATGTTTATTTTATTTTGATAGCTATGCATTGAATTTAATATTAGGTACGTAGATTACTTAAATACCATATATTTATTAATGTAAGGGTAGTTTGTTGTGCTCTTCTAGACAAATTGCAAACGATAGATAAGTTCTTGCTATCGTATGCTTGAAAAAGAACAAGACATTAACGTCCGGCATTGTTATTTCTTTTGTGTGGAACCGAAAACGTATTACTGATAAATTCCTTTGCAAACCCCTTTTCCTGACATGTGACAAATTGGAATGCCAACAGTGATGTCATATCACCGTGCTATTATAGTTTAGGACCAAACACAACAAATGTATTTGTTATTGAACAAAAATATGACCAGTGTATTGAAAAAAATTTTAGATGTTAGATACTGCCCGGTATTTTGAGCAACTTCAGCAATATAAACAGAGTGTATTATGATGTGAGTACTGTATGCAAAGATAAATAAAACTAAGTATTGTATTGTTAACTGTTCACCACAATTCACCACATTTCGTATTGTAATAAAATATTTATTAATATTTAAGTCTGTTTTTAGGTGTCTGCAGTAATACGTTTTGGTTTTCGATTTTTTTATTTTTCATAATTTATAAAATCTCTTTCTAATAATAGATATTGAATATGCAAAAGTGAAAAACTTTGTCAGATATGTATCTACTACTGTACAAATTTGAATTAAATTTGGCATTGTCTGAACCTTAAAAATTCGTGCGGAGTACGTGACGTCGATAAATAATTATTTTTGTCGCTGAATTCAGTTTTACCAACATATAAAAATAGTTTTTAAAATAAATATACAAAGCTGTCTTGTCTGTCTTAAATATTTAATACGTTCTGTCCACCTTGCAAAACAGTTAGGAAATATTTAAAAGTTAATCTTATATCTTATACCTGTTGTGCCAGTCAAATAGTCGTTGGTGAGTGAGAGTCTATGCGGTGGAGGCTTCACGGATTCTAGTCGTACTGTGGAATCTGATGAAAAGCCAGCCTCTGGTGCCTTCCAAGATACCTATGGTTGTCACAAATTAATCAATTTATGTATAATTTATAGGTTAAATATAAGGCAGAAAAATTAGGCCAGCTACGCCTCCTTATATTCTGGACTTCAATTGATTAATAAAAAATACTATAGTATTTTCTATAGAAATATTATAGAGCGCTATCTAATCGAAATTAAGCAAATATTGTATCTACTATTGATTTGGCAAGTGATATACTTTCAGATTTTTTTTATATAAATACACATGTAATCTCTAAACAAAAAAAAGAAGAATACTTTATTATCTAGTTGCCTTAAGTATATTTTGCTCTAAAAAAAATAAAATAATACAATGCTAGCTTCAATCGTAGAAAAACCAGTTTTTTTTTTGATAAAATTTCTGTGGGACCAATTTGAAAGTATATCCTTTCGGCTGAAAAAGAATTTTCCAAATATCAGTTTATAAATGACGGAGTTTTGAGATGACAAACATAAAAAATACAACTGAATTGAGAACTTTCCATTTTTTTGAAGTTAGTTGAAAACGTAGTCCTGACTAATGGGTACTATAAGAATAAATTTATTTTTTTTGCTAATACCTACAAACATGTACTCGTAATGTAAATGTATAAGTTACAAATGTGATTACATTTATAAATATACTTTTATTATACGGAAATCGAACTTGTAACCATCGTAAGGCGAGGAGGTGTGGTTAACCACTACATCATCAATAGTTCTCAAATGACATTCCGCATTTAGATATGGATAATGTTATTTATGTAATATTATAATAATGAACAACCTGTAGAAATTAGATTGAAAAGAGGTTTCAATGCTTAAGAAGAAGAGCCCCTTAAGAGTTAAGTGAGTAATTTAATATTCTTTTATAAAGAAAATCTGATTGACAAAATTAATATAAGATCAAAACGGGAGAAGACCTTATCAATTAAAAAAGTGTCATTAAAATCTGTTAGTAATTAGTGATGATTACATCTAAAAGTTTTTAATGATTTCAATGCAATATGTTTTGAATAAATATTTATTTATAAAGAGAAAGAGTAAATGAATGGTGTTAGTCTAGAGATCCACCCATTATATACCTGATGCCATCCATCTGATCTAAAGTTGTAACTATGGCTTAAGCCATAGTCATGTTCATGTCCTTAAGGACATGAACAGGAACACGCAGACTATATATTTTTTAATCTTTCTCTATTATTATTATGGTTATATGGTTTAAGTCATCTTCATCATTTCAGCCATTATCTGTCCACTGCTGGACATAAGCTCCCCGATAGACTGCCATAAAGAACGGTCCCGAACCACCCGCATCCCTGCCAGGAATAGCGGAGTCGCCGGGGACCGGGGGCTGTTTCTTTACAGTGTTTACCATTAGGGAATTCTGCTAGTAGTTGCCACACTTAGCATGCGGATTGACAACCGCAGTTAGGTCGTTTGAGATATATTAAAAGAGAGACGCTGCTATCCATTCCTCAATCATAAGTTCCTATAGTCACCTCTTACGACACCCACAGGAAAGGAAGGGGTGGTTCATTCTATACCGGGACCGACACGGTGATATTTATTATAATACTTACATCGGGTAGAAGAGGCGCGGTATGTGCAGATACTCTTCTCGCCGGCTGCGCTAGCACCCTGGGGGCGGGCAGTTGCGACCGAGTCCGGTTGTTAGGGAACTCCGACTGAGTATCGTTTTTAATCACCATGGATGACGACAAAAGAAGCTCGTTTTTGCGAAGATTTGAACCTATAAGAATTGCTATTTTTATAAGTAATAAAGGTGTAGCCATATATTCATTTTTTTTTCTTTATATAACTTAGAATGGCAAACAAGCTGACGGCCCACCTGATGGAAAGTAGTAACCGACGCCTATAGACATGAGCGGTACCATGGACATAACAAAGTATACTGTTTCGCCCATAATACCTCCCATGGGTTGCCATTCCTGAGCACTCAGATGTTATTACTCTGTACCCTGTAAATTCTCGTCATATCCCACCCTTCAAACCGAAACACAGCTATGCAAACAACTGCACTAATAAAAAGTTATATTGTATAAACACACATTATTTTTACTTTATTTTAAAAACATTTAACGTCAAAAATGTTTTAACTGTATCAAGTACCAGGAAAACATAAATGTATATGTAGTATTTTACTGAGAACAACATACAAGTAACGCCCACCTGATGGAAAATGGTTGTAACTGTCACCTACAATCATCAATAATAAATACCATGAAAAATATTAATAATATAGACCTACACTTAAAATATTTCCTTTTAACTACCACCTCTGGGATCTGATGGCCGACCTGATAGGAATTGGTAGCCGTCGACATGAATATATAGACATGAATAGCTCCATGGACATTACAAAATCATTTTGACATCCATGATAAAAGTGTCAACGTAACAGGATATACCATTTTGAGGACTAAAATGTTATATCTCTGTTACTTGTAATTTTAATGCCACATTCTACCTTTCAAATCAAGAAAAACTGAGGTAGAAGGATGAGTGTGATAGATATCCAATCAGGAAACTTTAGTATGGTGTAAGCTTTGAAAAATTCATCTAAATATACCATTACAAGTGGTGTGATCGCGTCCATTATTTAAGATCACTGCGTCAGAGTCCGACCCTGTTCTATGTTTAGGCTTTTTTCGTAGATTCGGTCTAGACAACCTCCAACTATAGCCACGTTGCACTCTGCATTTGTCCTCTCCGTTTGTCCCTGGGCTTGTTCCACTTATACTCCTACAAATAAAGTAATTAAGTATAGCTTTTTGGCTCAGATTACAATCAAAGTATAAAAAGAAGGCTGAAGATAATGCTGTAAATTATATGTAAAGTATATTATAGTATATTATACGAGTTTTATAGAAATCCATATATGTGATAAAATTGCCTATAGATGGAATTTTATCAAAACATTTACATATTGTTTCATTCAAAAGATTATAATAGGACATATCTTTCTATGTTCGGTACTTAGCAGAAAAAAAAATATTTACACCGAAGATGCCAAACAAGAGTTCCATAGTTCGATTAGTAGGTATCAAGTTTCAATAAGTTTTACTTACAATACGTCTTAGTATATAGTAATAGAGCTCGAGGAAGCCTATTTGATTGTGAAACTCCATTGAAACCACATAGTATGCGACTATTCAGTTTCTAAAGTGTAGAGATAAGTTCTCAGTCGACGAACAGCAGTGCAATGACAGATTATAGTGGTGGGTGGGTATCATGTCAAACAATTCAATGCAAATGATTGTTTGCTAAAGTCTAAAGGTGTTAAATTCAAAAATGAATGTTGGGCGATATAGCTTGCGAGCATGAAATAGTAAAAACATGAAATCGTAAAGAAATATTAATAAGTATTCCTCTTTCAAAGTTTGTAGTAGTAGTTACTGGACTTCTATCAGTAAATAGTTTATAGGGTACTGAAGTAATGCTTCTGCTTATCGATTATATATATATTGACTGATCAATCTGGATCTCGGATCTTATTTTATCGAAATTTCTTTGAAGTAATGGGTAGAACTAAAGAAACTCGGAAATAAAAGTATTTTATTAAAAAAAAAGTATCTTCAAGAACTGTATCATAAAAATATCATAAGAATGCTTTATGATAAGATTGTTCGGTCCAAGATATTCCAAGTTTTATACCAAAATATAAAAACTTTTTATCATTATCCTTGTATATTAAAATTACATGAAAGTTCGAAAGTTTGTTTTTATGTAATACGCAAATCTACTGAAACTGCTGTTTTCTAATATTTTGGCTCACATCGAAGCTTACCAAAGTAAGGCAACATTGGAATTATTTGACAATATTACTGATCGATTATTCATTTGAAAGCAAAGTAAAATGTTAATCATGCAATAAGATTTATATTATTCTATCACTCAAAATTTAGATTTTGATGGCAAAAAAGTATTGTTAATCTTCAGAAGTCAATTATGAAGTTATTGCAAAATTTTTAGTAGTAGATTCATGTGCAACTTATTCGTTATGTACCAGAGTATAACAAATAATGTTTAAGTTTGTTAGCGTTATAGTATTGTCTTTTTTTCTTCTTTTTATCCTATACCTAAAATATTTTATTGACCATCTATAAATTACTTAAGTTCGATACTATTATAGAAAACTTACTTTTGTGAACTAAGAAGACTAGACTTGTCACTTGTATTAAGACAATTATCTTCTTTCATAATCACAATTTGTAGATTCTTCTCGGGTGGTATCGGTGATGGTAACGGTCTAGGAGTTGTAGGCGTGGAGGAACCCGTTGTAGTCTTGATAGGAGGCAGAGCTAATGTTAGAGGGGGTGGAGCGAGAGACATTGGTGGAAGACGAGCTTTTTCTGCACCAAGTTGAGCACTAGCTGAATGTAGCGTTAGAGTGTAACTATTTGGTGGCTTTAGCAGTCCTGGTATGCTTGTACACTGAAAAATAAATTTGGTTACATCGTTTGACAAATATATAAAGAGGTATTATGTTGGTATCAAATATCATAATAAGTAATTAATAAATTTCTATGGGATATATTTACAAATTTACTTGTTTTGTTAATTTATGTATATAGCTTTTCATATTCTCGTTCGCTCATATAGGTATTTCATATACGCAAATCAATCATTTTGATTGGTACTCATTGCTGAACGTTTCATTAATAGTTCATCAAGTATAATTTGAATAATATAAGAAATCCGGTTCAAAGGATCAAAAAATATAGGAATGTTACTATACGAGTACTTACATTGATAAATAATAACAATAACTGATTAAGATTATTTAAATCTTTAGTATTTAGTATTAAATTCTGTTAAACATACTTATACAATAAGGATGCAAAGTATACAAACTGAGAACATAATATATTGATTTACACAGACAGATTTCTACTAAATAGCGGATTGTATATTATTACAGACTTTACAGTTTATAAGAGGTATAAAAATGTTAATATTTACGGATGTGCGATCAATAGAATCCAAACTCGAGAGCATCGAAGATCTTTCTAAGCTGAGAGCCACATTAAAGTCCCTGAATGATGCCCCAGGTTCCAAAGTAGTGGACGGTGAATCTTGTGGCGTAGCTGCAGTGTGAGTGATCATTGGTACTGTCGTGCTTTCAGATGCGCCTGCGTTGCTTGCTAACATTTTTGATTCCTAAAGATAAAATAATATATTTTTATAAATTATATAACTAAATATGAAGAAAGAATGAGTTTTTGCATACTCCAATTATAAAGATAAACAGTCTTTAAATCCTTTTTCTTATTACAGCAATTGTAGAATTAAATGAATAATTTTCTTTAAGTCTTTGAAGATGTTCTTCCTTTGTAAGATGTAACTATTAGTTACGCTGTATGTGTATTTTAAATTCGGATGTTTTTAAAAATATAACAAAGAACAATCGGGGATAAAGTTATCTGATAGTAAGTGGACAACATATCTAAATATTATGATTTATTTTATTTGCAACACAAAGAATATCTTATGTCTCTAGAATTACAATCGTTATTTGATGGTGGTCTTTTGTAAGGTGGAAGTGATTTGCTCATTAGATTCTATTCTCAAATCTCGCTATGCCCTTACTGACATACGTGTCACGTATATGAATGTCGCCCACTCACTCCCTAAATTTGAAATCAGAACAAGTACTCGCCTAAGCGAATTTGAAGGGTATGTGTGGACGTGACAGACGGGAGTTACAGTAAAGTTAACACAAAATGAAAAATGACCATATTTCAGTAAAATCGGAATTTAAATAATCCTATGTTTAATAATACGTATAATAGTTTATAAATAGTAGCTTTAATAAAGAGGTATGATATGACTTTAGAATTAGTTCAGTTGTGGTTTTGCTGGTAGAAATGTAATGTTTGCACTTGCTTACGTAATATTAGTTCCTGAACTTTGGTACTTTGCGTTTAACATTTGTATAGTTCAGTATATTCTGTTTGTGTTTTCGTTTTGTAAGTTATACCAATTGTTTTGTTTGGCACAGTAAACTACTATTAAATACCTTATAGAGAATGTTTACAAGAGAAAATGTATGTTCTTGAAAACTCTAGGTATAAATATGTCGTGCATCATGATTCAAGTCAGGGCTATCATAATTATTACGAATACGTAAACGAATATGTATACGTATTCCTTTTTTAATATATTACGATGATAGCAAAAAGATATAAGGTCTGCTTGATGGGAAGTGGTTATCGTAGCTTTTGCATGTGCGCAACATTTGACGGAATAGATCTTAAAGAAAACTTTAATATTTTTATTTAAGCATTATTTTTCCTTCTATTAACATAGTGCATATTTTAGGCACTATTGTTTTTTAGGTATCTTTTGTAATATTTAACCACAAATATACCTTTTGAATGTTACATTTGTTCGATTGTGCGCAGTCTTTGCAAAGCGTTGGGTGATGTGCCGAAGACTTGGTCTTCCGACGTCCTCTCGATTGCTTATCCTTATGTCCGTTCACATCATCTTTAGTTCGACGAACGTCATCCGCTGATTTCCAAAAGTTTTTAATCTCGTTCTGTTATAAAAACAAAAAAGAAACAACATATTTTTATATCGATATTGATTTAGTATGTTTAGTTTGTTAATTAGTGATATTTAATTTAACTCTGTAACCTTGAGTAAAATGCTCAAAAGTGTTTGTATATTCCATGTACAAAAAAGGTAAACTCACTATTCCCTTTAAATCTCTTCAGTTTTATGAGTGACCCTTATTCAAAAAACTAAAACATCCTACAAACCTATTATAACTATTAGAGTATTTTGCCATTGTTTATTAATTTGAGAAATTAGCGTAAAAGAAAAGACAGAAACACTTAAATAGCTAAAACAGGTTTATAAGAGGTTTGACGTTTTTATGGATAAGAAGGATTATTTTCAGTTTATTTTTTTACACATGTATCTAACCGAAGGCACTGGGGGGAAAGTGATTGTTAGTAATGGAGACTAAAAATCCCATTGCTAGCTATATACCTAACCAGGTCGACCTCCTCGTGGTTCCCCCTGGAAACTATCATGGTTAATTCCTGATGAATTCATCATGATGGACTAACTGGCCTGTTTTCATTCTCATCGATCACCCTTCACTGGTGTTCCGCCAGCGTATCCCATTAGCGCAGGCGGGGTTACCATTCCATTTTCATCTACCAAAAAAAAAAAACCGAAGGCACTTGGGGGATCAAGGGGTTATTAGTAATGAGAAGTTTGTTCTCATTGCTAGCGATATACCCCATCAGGTTGACTCCCATGCGGTTTCTCTTGGAAACAATCGTGGTTAATTATTAGTAAATCACCACGTTGGGCCAGTTGGCCCATCTGACACTATCCTCATTTATCATCCTTTATTATCTTTATACAAAACCGAAGTCACTTCGAGCAATAGGTTCACTGGAACTTGTAAATTCAATGTTTTTGTTTAGCATCCAATCGAGAAGTCCGTATTGGAGCATGTGTGAAATAAGATGCACAGATGACGGACAATCTTCGGTGCACATTTTTGTTCGTTATAACGAAACAAATACAATTGTATGTTACCTATCCTTGCAAGTACGCGGATTGTACGAATGAAAATTTTGTTTTCTACAGAGAATATATCATGATTAATTATTTGCGCATGTATTCAGTTTCAGGGAGGTTACTATTTCTAAAGCTAAAGGTTCTAATAGTGGACCTACTTTTTCTCTTAGTTGACACTTTTTTATTTATATATTTTATATATATATATATATATATATATATATATATATATATATATATATATATATATATATATATATATATATATATATATATATATATATATATATATATATATATATATATATACACATACATACATCAATATGGAATTAAAATAAGAGTAAGTGATTGCATCTTATATTGCCATAAAACAAAAATAATAGCAAGAGTGATTAAATCTATATAGAAATTACGTAATAGATACAAAAGGTAAAGTTAATCCAATCCTACATATCCAGTTGTCCAATAAATTTCGTTAAAAAGACAAAAGACGAACCTGAGAGAAACTGTCGCTGGAATGTGACCCTGAATTAGAATCGTCGTACTGTAATTCATTGTTGTCCGAGAAACATTCGTTTGATAATTTAGACTTAGCTAATTCGCGTTGTTCACGTTCTCTCCTTTCGTTTCGCTAAAAGAAAAAGGAATATAAATATTTTTTCAAGTATCATCATAATAACAGTGGAAAAATTTATTGTTATATCTGCTGTGGAAATTGTATGTGAGGTAGCACACATGTATATACATAAATAAAACAGCTACTGCGTACTTTAATAGCTACGAATAAAACAAATCATGTATTTAAAGTGATTTAATATCATTGTTTATTTTTCAATTCCTTTCAAAAAAAGATTTTCAGAATTTCAAGAAGATCAATACTCAATTCAATCGTATTTATTATGTTTATTACTTCATAATTTGATTCATAAACAGATTTGAAGAATTATTTTTTATCTGATAGAATATACTTTCAGATTAGTTCCACATAAATTTTATGAAAATTGATCTAATAGTTTAGTTTTAAAATAAAAAAACTGGATTTTTTAAATTAAAATAATTGGTTTTTCCTCCGTTGAAGTAATTTTTCTTTGTGGAACTTTTTGAACTAATTAGATATACTTTTTATTAATTATATTATAAGTACTTTTATATCAGATCCTTTATAGGATAGGCTAAGAGAATTAAGTAAAATCATAGCATAAATATCACATTTTTTAACTGCTGAAGTAAACGAATCAGGTTTTAAATTGATTTCTGAATTGAATTTTTTACAATCCTCAATAGGGGTTCGAGCTAGTGTGATGCATTATTCAAGTTTACATTAAAAAGTTTGTATAGAAATTTGAGTTTGCTTAAAACTGCTGTTAAGTTTTTGATACAAATATCTAATAATAATAAAAATCTGTTTAAAATTTACACTACCGATTTAGGTATTATACTGAACATAAAAATACTAGAATTTAAAATGCATAGGTAACTTTTTATTTTGCTAGCGATTATTATTTTACTTTTATTATCAAAACAACAAATTGAATAAATTATTATAATTGAACCAGAAATACGTACCTCAGAGCTGAATCCTTCAACGAGAATAGCTACTAGCAAATTAAACAGTACGTAATTGCCAAAAGTCATGAGTGCCACGAAATATAACGCGGCCCAATGACTCGTCTTTTCCATGCCGTTGAACAATACAACATTCCAATCTTCTTGGGTTAAGACCTGAAATATTCACATCAAAGTGAGGGCTCTGCTCGTTCGAGCAACAAACTCTACCACATCAAATATCTTCAAATATCATGAATCTCCTTAATAAACCAAAATAAGCGAGGTGTGCTGTCATATTGTATTTAAGTAGTGCCTTTTGTGTTTGTAATTAATTTTAACAAATCAACGTAAATGAAATACAAAAAAATCTGTTAATAAATCAGCGTGTTAGTGTATTGTTATGTAGTTGTATTAGTGTACACTAATATACAAGGTTAGGTATTAGGTAATGGAAGGGAACACAGACGGCGATTTTGAGTACACAAGCATTAGTTTTCAGCATTTCCTAAAACTACTAAAGCACTATAAAGCAAGATGCAACTAACTACGGAGCGCTCCATATAGAGATGCATTACATAAATTTTGAATCTAAACTATATCATATTACAAAATGGCGGATCTCTCGTTTGTGGTAGGTTTAGTACATATGTGACCAATTAGTTAACAGTCTTTTCGAACACCTTCAATGAAGTTGTTAAATAAGACAAGATATATTTCTACATATCTAAATAGTTGATTTTGAAATAACGATACGAGAAACACGCGGCTTCTACTTCTAAAAACATACTCAAATAGGATCGCAAATAAACCGTTTATGTTGTACCTTGTCTAACACCGGTCTCAAGGCTTACCTGGAAGACGGTGACGGTAGCCCAGAGGATGTTATTAAAATGTTTCCTGTCGCACTCACACTTGGGGTGATGCGAGATGATTTCTGGGCAGGTACAATCTCGCTCGGCGCCATTGTCTTCCACATACTTGCAAAACTTACCACCAAATAGATACATGCCCAGAATACTGCGCGTCACGGGGCCGATGAAAAAATGAAAGAAAAAGAAAATGCTATGCGCATACGCCGCGACCGAGTCATCCTGACGACATGTTGTTGCGTTCGAGACGTTAACACTGCTGCCTCCGTGATTATATGAAATAGAACTAATCTTACAGAAATACAGTGTTCACATACTTATGTTAGGAAATGATGCAAACAATTGTGCCTCATATTAATGTGCCAGCACATCACACGATTGTATTATATGATAGTATGAAAGTATTATAAAAGTGCATAGTCTATACAAACAAGTGAATATGTATGTACAAAATGTTTATTTTTTTTTTATTTTATTCTTTAATCAATACAGAAAATAGTAAAATTAGTTTCATTTCTAAATAAAAATTGTATGTGTACCGGTAGGAATATGTTTGTATTTGGTACAAAACATTAAACATGAGAAACACTCATTGATTAAGCAGTGTTACCGTCATTGAGACGCTACCACCAACGGGGTTGTTAATAATAAAATAGTATATTAAAATTAACATCATGACTTTTAATGCAAATGAGTTCCTCCATAGAATTATTATTAATAAATATTATAATTCATTCTTTATATACTGCCTCAGAGTATCGTGATTTTAATAAATATAAATGCAGTTAAAATAATATAGAAGAAAAAGATAAAAGATAAGCAAAAGAAAAGTGCATAAAAGATAGTTACATTCGTCTTCCTATAGAATTACTCGTGTCAAAATACCGTCATTCAAATAAAATGCAATAATTAAATAATAAAAAATATATCGAGTAATGCAAATGGAAAAGATAAATAGGAAAATAAGGTGAATGTGTTAATAATTTTAGCAAAGTGGAAGTACAGGGGGAGATACAGAAATTGGAAATTAGATTATTACTGAGTTAAGATAAAGAAAGATGCGAGGCTTGCTAACAAAATCGATAATTTTAATAAGTATGATTTTCATAAGCAGGGATATAATGATTTCATATATTGCTTTAGTTATTTTAAATTATTGCAAATTTGATCATTGATTTCGTAGCAAGACTTGACATACTTAAATAATAGAAGCATCATGCAAAGTGATAGATAATTTGTAAAAACTGAGTGCAGCTGTAGTAATGGGAGTAGAGGAACTGACGAACAGGCTAATCCGCGACTCGGTTTTTATCGACCTCAAGCTAACCTACTACTCAACTAAGCTCTCTGACTAAGTAATGTGCTCTTGACAATTTTTGATGGGAGTACTGGTACGGCACAACAAGGTGAACGTGACACTAGATGATGTTGGATCAATTTGTTACGATGGTACTATATATCACTACGCGGGTTCTAGGATAGCGGTTACGCGAATTAAACGCATGTTTGACATATCACCGTACTGCAAGAGATACAATTTACCCATGCCATACAAATTGCAATTATTTATTAAGTGAGATGTATGAAAATCTTGCAGCAAGTGGAAAGTCAATTGTGTACTCGCGTCGTTAGTCGATTAGCCGTCACAAGACAATAATTCTTCTGTTAATGGGGTTGTCATACTGTCGTGAGTGTTGACTGCTGACGGACCCGTAGGTAAGCGTTTAGTAATGTTGCAAGTTCAGTCTGTTTCTGGATTGTCTGTTAGGGTACTTTAGTTTAAAATGTTCAATACCTGAAACACCGTGACAAAGGCCCACAAGAGCGTATCAAAGTTTTTTCTGTCGCATTCTTGGTCGCCTTCTTCGTCTTTCTCGCAGAATTTGCACCCGAAGAGGTTCATACCGAGGATGCTGAACGTTATCACGCAATATACGATTAGATATAACAGGGTCACTATATTTCTTTCGATATAATATATAAAAGAGGAAGGAAAATATATTAAAATATATAAATATATGTGTCGATTATAATCTAAAATGGTAAGTGATAAAGTGCAGGTGTAAATAAAGTGGACGAAAAGCACAAAAGCGTGAAATTCTAAAGATATAATAGAAGAGAAAAAGTTGTAAGAGTGTAGATAGTGGCAGTGTGTAGTGGTTGGAATGTCAAAGACAGAAGTAGTTGACATACATATAGGAAATAGATCGAAAAGAAAAGGAGAAATCACTCACAGTTAGTGCACAGGTTAAAGGGATGCGGGTGTGACAGTTAAGTAGAAATATTCAGAATTCATATTTTATGGAGTCGAATAAGGTCTTCTTTTGTCTAAGGAAAAATGGAAAAATTGGATTGAGCAATCAGTATTAGATTGCTGGAAACTGTGATAGCTACTTGGTTAATATTACTACAGTACATATAGATGAAATGTCACAAATCGGGATAATGAGAATTCCAAATACACAAGAAAGATTATAGAATATACGAGTAAGAGCCTTAGATAAACAGATAGCTTATATAGTAAGTAATATGATAATAGTAGTAGGTAAATTCAAAGATTTCCGTAAAACCAAATAAAACAGTAACACGACTCAATTTTTATTGAATATATATCTCATCAGAACGTTAAGAAAAACAAAAAATGGAGAATTAGTTCTGGAAATGACAGAAAAATATAAACGCCAAGTGCAGTCTTGTTGATATTAATAATTGTTTTAGTTTTCCAAATTCATTTCAAATTAATTTTTAATATTTTCATTTGCAGTTATGTTTAAATCCATGCAATTTATATTTATAGATTTAATTAAAGGTTTAATATTAATCTACATTAATATTATTCATATTATAAATTTTGGAGTCACTTGTACGCCTATTCACTAAAAAATAAAGTTATAACAATTTTCATCAAATTTGGATTTTTGATATGCCTTTTAATAAGTATATAAAATTGTGTAAATAATTACCTGAATATAAAAATGAAGAGCACCAATAAGGAGAAGAAGACGGCAACATTATCCATGGTACGTAGCATTACAAACAGTTGTCTCCGGAGGTTTGGCATAAATCGAACTAGTTTTAGTATGCGCAAGAGTCGAAATGTGCGCAACACAGAAAGACCTGAACTTCCAGCTAGGTCTTTTTCGTGTCCAATGCTTTGAGCCAATTCAAATGCACTGTATAGAATATATGTAGTTTAAAGATGCTTAGATATTACAATAAAAAATATTATTTCATAGAAAATATTTGTATGTTAAATCAAATATACACGAGATTATGACATATTTCAATATGGAACAATTTCGTAAGAGAAGATTTACCTTAATATTACAATAATGCCATCAAAAACGTTAAACCCGTTAGAGATATACTTGAAAGGTCCCTCAGCGATGATTTTGAGAAGCATTTCGACGGCAAATATTGCGGAGAACACTATATTACTGATCTCAACAATAACTGTAAGCTCCTCAGGTTGGTTGTGATATTCGATACCCATTGATAGTGTATTTATGAGTATAGCTAGTAATATGCCTGAAACAGAACATATTCTTTATAAACGTTTGCTGGATAAAATATTCTTATTATTTATCATTAAGTATCTAATATTTAAGAAAATATATATTAAGGGACGTTTCTGTTATATGCATAAACATATATTTTTTAAATATCTACATATAATTAAATTATATAAAATTGAAAAGAAAAGCAAAGTGAATTATTATTAAAAAATGTTCATGAATTAAACAAATTTCATTTGTTTGATTTTTTTTCAATGTTTTCTGAAACTTTTTATTTATCTTCGTAATTACAACTTTTACTAACAAGAAGACACAACAACCAATTAGAAAAGTTTCTAACGACAAAAATATACCTTGTTGAAAGTATTTATGATTAACAATGTTTTTGATGTGTTTTCGCTGCCAGGAAAATGCTTTTGATATCTTTTTCCAAAACAACGAGCATGCGCTTGTGAATCGATTTTTTCTCGATTGTTTTGCGGCTGCCTCAGCTGCTAATAATTCGGCACAGCACGAATAATCCTCTATATCAATAACCTACAAATAGACAAAATTAGAAATAAATCTTTTAATTATCTAACCTTTATAAAATCTGAACGATTACTTAGATGAAAAATATGCATCTCTATGATACAATCAAAAGAAATAAGCCAAATTAACACGAATAATCGGGTTTCGTGTCAGTTCATTCGAATATTAATACGAATCGAATAGTTATACGAATCTGCTTTTTGGGCTGGATAGTGAAAAATTATTTCTTTGTAAAGAATAGTAATAACGAACCTTCGTATCATTTTTTTCTTCTCCTGCTCGTTTGCTAATGCCCTTTGTAAGTTCTTCGAAAAAGGAATCCAAAGCAACTTGTCCAGTTGGTAATGCTGCAGATAATGCCCCAGAAAGTGCTAGTAGTTCTTGACAGGACATAGTCCCTCCCGCGGCCGCACGTTCCTCAGCAGTATCGCCTGTCGGCAAGTCGAATTCTACGCCCGATATTAGTACGATTATTGTATGATTGAACAATTGTCGATTGTTGATCTAATATCTTCAAAGCATCTAACTGTTCGGAAACGTTACTAAGCCATTTATCAAGTGTTAAAATTTCATTCTTTATTCATAAAAATACAAAAACTTTTGTTTTTTAAATCTATCAGTATTTCTTTTTTTCTTATGTGAAAAATTTTCAAATATTAAGAAAGTGATGTGATCGTAGAAGGTTTCAGTTTTTATGAATCCCTTTGTGTAATAAATTTACATGATATAAAAGTTATTTCAATAAATGTATTTGTATCGAACAGTAATAGATACTTTGTGTGAGAGTAAAAATATCTAGAGATATTATATAGACAGAAGAATGTTATCTACCTATATTGTGAAAGGAATAAAGGAAATTTGAAGTATTTATAATTTATTAAGATAAGAAGTGCTGTTTCCTATTCAGCTGAATCAATAAGAGGTATAGACTGTAAAGAAGAGAAGCGGAAATTAAGACCAGATTGTTCATGCCTCGCTAATACTCGTCTAGATCTACCGTCTCTAGACTCACCACTTTGGCTCTTAAGCCAGTCACGTTGACACAATGAATCTACAAATATTCATTGCAACTGTTACATTTTATAAAGTTCTTGACTATTGTAATAGAGAAATAGATATATTTTATATTTAACATTTTAAAATTTGATTCTAAAGTGAAACCTTGATAATGATAATTTGTTTTAGACTTCAAAAGAAATTAGAGTAACGTATCAGTACATGTGTATATGTACATATACAATGGTGAACGTTATGATTAAATAGAGTTTTACAAAATTATGCTTTTCATCATTAAAATTTAATATTTCAAATTAGGTTATATATTTCGTATGGATATGAAGGGGCATCCTATTTATCCAAGTATTTCTTACTTATTTATGAAAAAATAATACTGATAAATAGAATAATATGAATCATATATGTATATATAGGTAGGTATACGATAGATAAAGATGAAACATTCTGTTACATGATCATTTGAATAAATATTTACCTGTTTGTGTCATCTTTTCAGAGGAGCAAACATTATGTGGGTGGGCCAAATGCGGAGTGTTTGGTGCGTGAAGAAGTACCGTATCGCTAAACATAACCGAGGACCTCCGACGAGCCAGCGAAGGTGGCGACAGCAGTGACAAATTCGAAGCATTCTGTTCGGAACACATTGTGTAATTATAGGATAATCTTTCCTAATATTGTAATGTAAAAGTGTATTTTATTATAATTTTGAGTTGATGAATGGAGAAGGACATATTTTTTATTTCGGACTTAGCGTGAAGAAAGATTACAATAAAAATAGATGCATTATTTTATTATTAACAGTATAATAAAGGTAAAATTACTAATGGCTACAAATTTAGACCAGTAAAGCGCAGGCTATAAATAATATGAGTTTGCTATCTGTACTTATATCCTGAATGCTTCTAATATATTCACTTATGACACACACTATCATAAAAAAAAAAAAAAAAAAAACTGTTACAGTTTTTCATTGTTATTACTAAACGATCGATGATCACAATAGATTTTCAAAGCACCTATAAGATTAATAAATTAGGTAATAAACTTCTGTAACTAGGCAATAAAATATACATTTAGGAACGAGCAATGGATACTTAAATATCATTTCCAAGTGTGTGTATCGTATCCAATATTATATTTCTACCAATCATATTTTTGTGACAATATTACCTCAAGATCAGCGGCGGAAAGGGAAGGTACGCGCAACAGGCTGGGCCTGCTGAGGGGCTCGTCACCCCCTCCCCCGGCCGCTTCCTCCACAGGCTTCCCCCCATTTCCCTGTCACAGCGTCGAACAATACAATACAACCCGCCAACACGGAAGCGGCTTTGTAAAACCTTCTGGAATATTTTATTATAATTCCAACTCCTCGAATTTTACTATAATAATGATAAATTGGATTTTAATGTCTTATTCAATAAGGATGTACATAAACGTGAAGTCTAAAAACAACAAAGTAACATAATCAAAGTTACAAATTAAAAGTTAGATGAGAATGGCACAAGGGGAAGATTTGCTTTGATTTAATAAACAAATTTTAAATCGTCTGCCTCACTTCTTTCAATTGTATTATTAACTAGCCGTTTCCCGCGGCGTTGCCTGTCTTTAACAATGTTGTTTCTGTATATCATTCCCATTGGAACTGTTCATGAATCCGGTCTTATATTGTATTATATACTTAAATGATAATCACGTACCTAATATCTTCATAAAGTTTCAGCCATTTCAACTGATCGGTTATTTTATAGCATTTTATATGTGATTTTTTAGATTAATATAACTTTTTTATTTATGAACCGATTACAATAAAACAAATACTAAATGTTAAGTAGAGCAAATCAGAACACATTAGTGGAAACCGCATTCAAATCAGTTAAGTCGTTTCTGAGATTAACGTGCACAGACGTATAGATAAAAATGCTAAAAAAATCATTGTTTTGGGTTCTATTACGTTCATAAAGCCTCCCTATAATAGTTTTTCTTATATATCTTCCATGTACAGTCAGCGAACAGTTACGATTTTATTGTATGTATTGATTTAGTAAATATTCCTTTTCATTTTGAAGAAATTAAATAATTTAATATTATATAATGAACTACTTGTTTTACATGTAACAGTATGGATATTTAATGTGATAGCGGATAACGTTTCGATGTAATATTTTAAAATTCGTTGATACATTTATTCGGGTCAATTGTCGATTATTGCACAATGTATGTAAATGCTTGTAGACACGTTTATTTAAATAAAGATGATTTAAATTTGAATATGAATGTAAACACTTATGTATTTTTTTTTAAATTTTCTTATTAGTTTTAATTTTTAAATAGTCAAATAATATGAATTTTATCTTATTATAAAATACTACTAGTGTTTATTTAAATAATGGTGAAAAATATTTTTTTTTTATTTTTCTGACTAACTTATTCATTATTTGTAATATTATAAAGATATTTGAATATTTAGTTCTTTTTTATTCAACTTGGAAATCAAATAATTAGAGAAAGTGACGGATAATGGTTAGAATAATTCTAAATATAAACTTGGTAAGATTTACAATAGTATAAAAGTACCTGTGGGTGAACACGGGGGCAGCAGGGATGGTGTTGTTTCGGTTTATTCGCCGGTAACTGCAGAGTTTCCCGACTGGTCCGCCAACGAAGTTGGGCTCGTTGGTATCGATACACCCTGTCAGAGTAAGTAATGGACTTTAATAGACTGCCGCTAGGGAGGTGCTGCGGTCCGAGATCGAAACTAAACCTTACTCTAACTAGGTAACATTTGAAACGTAAAAGTAGATGTTATGGTTCTTGTAATAAGCGGTGAATTGGGATATAATCATAGTACGAACTATTACTAAAAGAGTATTCTACGAATGATTCGTAGAATATTTTTTTTTGGAATGTCTAAATATGCTTTAAACCAAACACCTGTATTTTATGAGTAAGTGTATAAGTACAATATGTTTTATTACAAGTTAGTAACACCAGAAATGAATATTTGACTCGTTTTATTACAGTTATGTATATTGGCGGATTTTTTTTATATGATTATCTTTAAATTGACACGGTATCAGTTGATAAATTCATCATTACAGGTTCAACAATGGAACATTGGCGACATACCTTATCTTTTTCGCCATTCTCCTTTTAAATCTTCTCCATAAATGAGCTACATATTTCACGATCTCGGCGTAACACGTCGCCGGCTCACTATTGTTCGTAGACGATGCTAAAGTGGACGACGATGTGAATCGAGCTCGTTCAGCGCGCATACGCTCCATTTCACGTTTTTTAGTTTCACTGAATTGAGTCGCAATTACGACTAAACACAGGTTGATCATGAAAAAAGAACCGATCTGCAAAAGAAATAAAAACAATTAACGACTTGAATGGTTATTAATTTAAGGAACATGGAATAGATTTATTTTTATAGGCTTATAGGGTTTGATTAATCTCTCGTTTTAACTGAGATATATCATAAATAGTAATAAAGTTCTAATAAGATGTAATTTGTTCGAAAATTGTATTATATTGTTTTCATATTGTATTTTAAAATAAATTATGTTTCGATAATTAAATTGAAATATATTTATCTGTTTGGGAGATACAATAATATAGATAGACACTACTTCAACTGACACCACTTGTATATATAAAATAGTACCATATTGGTATATATAAAATATAATAAATAAAGGCATATGCATTACTATAGCCTTACTATATATTTAATACTACTAATATATATAAAAAAACTGAGTACTATACTTACGACAATTAACAGCACAAAATATATCCAGTCCCAAAAACTATGCGCATCTTGTACATAATACATAATATCTGTCCAACCTTCCAGTGAAATCACCTGAAAGTAAATCATATTGTTAAACTCTTCCTTTTTTATAACTATAATAATTATTTTCCTACTTTTATTTATATATCTTTTATTTTGGTAGCACTTATTGCATTGCTTGTTATAATTATTTTTCATCTTATTCATTGTTTTGCTTTACACATAATCACGTAGTTTATATTGTCGCCCACACTAGTGCTATATTTAATATACATTTAGACGTATGCTGGCTGTACAATTTGATGAAATTCAGGAAGTCCATTAATTCAGTTAATCCATATAAATCTAATCTTAATCTAACGCACATCCTTGAGCGAAACTCATTTAGAGATTAGAAGATAAAATTGTAGTAAGCTACAGAGTCTGTAACACGACTGACAGAAAGTCGTGGTCGCAATTTAATATACTTAATTATATTTCAAGCTCCGAAAACTTGAGATTCTCATTTAATTTTCTTTATATTTTATTAGGTACTTAAGTATGTAACTTAATTTTATCTTATACGAGTAAGAAATTTTTTTTATGTGTACGGCTTTTTTGTTTTTCAATTGACATCATAATATTTAAGTACAAACAGATATATAATTATTTATTTTTTATATCACAAGGGTGGCAACAAGCATATAACTGGCTTGATGGCAAACGATTATCGTAGCATATGGACGCCTGCAACACTAGGAGTGTAACTTACGCGTTGTCTATTCTGATCTTCCTATGCTTTTGATACTAACATCCAACTTTAATGTAATACCTTTAAGTAATCTTTTAAAGAATCAAATAAAACTTACCAGGAATATAGCGACCCAAGCAAGTCCAATGTTATCAAAGGATATTGTGCCTTGAAATGGATTGGAGCCTCTTTGTGTGCAGTTAGTGTAGTACTGGTTCCAGTTAACGCACGAAGTGTTTGTTGGAGCGTTGTTAGAGAAGGGTTTCGCTGTTTCGTTGCAGACCAGTTGCCCATAGCGGTACGGTGGAAAATTGCCGCAGTGGTGCATGCCGCTATCTTCAGGCGTTGTGCAGATATAGTCCAACTCTTTCGAGAACTCGTAGTACAATGATATGCTGTGCAAAATATAAAGCACATTAGGGATATACGATTATTATAAATTTCAATTTATCGTTATGGTCAGATTTTACATGCTAATATAGACATCACTGTCAGAAACATTACATTCATTATTATATTTTGTAAAGCAATTTTTCATTATACTAATAAAGAGAGACGTAATATTTAATTTCGGAAAGTTTAATAATAATTTACTTTCATTTAGCTCTGTAATACTTCGGAGTACTTCTATTTACATTTTAATTAATCACGTTAACTTGAATCGAGACAAAAGAAATCTATATATGTTCTGTTGCCTAATTAATAAGATAATTGAAACAATTTTGAGTATTTTTGCGTAGGTTTGTATACAAAGTTAAGGTAAAAAAATATCTAATTGGACGTGGAGTTAGTTGTTGTTAATTATTTCAGCTGATAGTAATTATGTTTAAATGATAAAGGTTTTGACTATAATGTAACATATAAAGCTATAATTGTTTATAAGTTGATGTATGTCTGAAGTATTGTTAATCATTCTAAGCATTTATAGGAGGTACATGCAATATCAATTCAGTTGCACATTCACTAACGCATGCAATTACATTCTGAAATAGAAGCAAAGATCGAAAAGGGTTCATATGTTTAATTTCTAATCTATTAGATTGCAATCTTAACATAAGTGATAATAGAATATTCTCAGAAAACCAAGGTAAATATTAGTGGATTAGTAAGATTAACGCCGGTGGCCTCAGAAGTCGTTATTACAAATGACACTGGCCGTAACAGCGGAACACGAACGGTAGTAACCCACATCATTTGCGGCACCCGCTCGTTACAGTGCTGTTCCCTTGATGATACCCATAAGGGTTTTATTGTGGTCTTCAAGTTGATTCTAAAGTATCTTTTCTAACATTGTAATATTAAATATTAACCAGAAATCGAGCTTTGTGGTCACTTTTTTGGTACTTGTTTTAGTAATGGACTGCAATACATTTCTTTTGACAAATAAAAATGTATTAACATTAAATAATAACACAGAGTAAGCGAGGTTATAATATGATATGAACAATTGTTTTGAAGTGATAAAAATACCAAATGCTTAGTTATGTTAATAAAAGGTAATTCTGTTATCGTGTCTCGAGGTTTGCGTATTAGAAGTAGAATGGTACAGTTGTCTAAATAGATAGCATTATCATGTGTATATATAGATAAAATAGGTAGTTGTGCATTCTAGCTTTATAAAATTTAAAAGTTATCATATTCGACAGGTGTTGTATTGTAACAATAATATTTGATAAATTTAGAGGAAGTTGATAGAACTACCCATATTTTGTTTGATACAAAACAAACTGGCAGTTCTTATTTATATTTATAAAGGATGTTATTATGATAAGGATGCTAATTATGAAAATATCAATGATCATAGGGTAATAGAGTGCAGTGTTTTAGTAAAACTGCCAGTTCGTAAATGGGAAGCCAATACGAAAGCACATCTGGCTGGCAGATGTGTGAAGGTACACGATACAACAGTTTTTAATCTTCATAATAGAAACACATTAATTTTGATCGCAAATCCTTACGAGTTCACTCTGACGCGCACTCTGTACCATTCGGACAGGTCTCTGGAACATAAATTTAGGAGGCGGTGATGGGTGTTGTGTCTAGGTCTAGTTTAGCATCTGTTGTTCTAAAAATGTGGATATAATAGTCACTAAGTGAATTATCGTAGGAAATTATGTTTTTTTTTATTTATCCACATGTTTAGACCGTTATGTCGGGTGTCTCTACGTATCTATATGTTAATAATCTATATTTACTTTTAGTACCAAATCTACTGTTGTTATTCTTGTATTCTATGACGGAATGTTAATGCGGCTATGTTGGATTGATATGGCTAGAATCTTTCAATGTATTTATTATTAATAAAAAAATATATATATAGATAATCATGATGAGAATAAACAACTTTTTTTGCTACAATTTTAACTGGTTCAACATGCGTGTATCGTTGATCATAACATTTTTGCGTTGTTCTTATGTGAGTATTGACGGAATGCAATATTTACGTGGTGCTGTATAGTAGTAGTGATAAGCCGATTAAACCGACATGCGCGTTTCAAAATGTTAGTGAACAAAATAATATGGAACGATAAAATATAGAATGTCAAAAGATAGAGCAGCCATGGATGTGCTCGTGGGATGTAAGCGTTAAATATTGCATGCAGTCAACGTTAGCAGTGGAACGTGCCGCTAAGATGAGCGCTCTCGAGCAAATGGAACAAAATGAAAAAATCATTTCAGCTGCAATTTCATCCACAAAACTTTAAATATTTCCAGCTAAATTCTCTGCTTCGTCCAATTTGGGGTTATTACTTATTCATTAACTAATTAACGCTTACTTTTATTATGAGCTACGAGCAGCAACAAAGAGAGACTTGTTTATGTATGTCTCTCATTGTGGCTCTAACGAGGGTTAATGTTATTGGACAGGTACTTACTTGGGTCGATATACGTTTGGTGGTGGGACAAATTCGCAACGTTGCCTAAGAATTCCTTCCCAAAGCTGAACTCCGACTATTCCAAATATGAAGAACACAAAGAAGCATAAAAGTAGAACGTTGCCTAGCATGGGTAGCGTATCTAGTAGTAGCATCACCAATATACGCATACCTGGGAAAGGAAACAAACATAAATTTTAGGAACATGAACAAATTTGTAGGATAGTACGTAGAAAAATAATAATATTTTGTAATTTTCTTTTGTTTAGAAACTTAAGTATTTAAGATAATACATATTAAAACATTTTTTCCCATTGGTAAAAATAAAATATTCATAATTTATATATATTTTTCTAATATTGGATAGATGATTAATTGTAAATGAAAGTAAATAAATTCTTTAAAGTTTTCTTTTTCATTTTTAATATTATATTTTGCTGCCTTCATCAATTTTATATTATTATTATTTGAAAATTATGTAAGATCTACCTAACAGAAGGATCAACTTTTTCGTAATCAATTAAATATCTATTAATAAAGATTCATAAAGATTTTGTACTTTAAAAAGATACTTTGAATTTCTTTAATAATGCAATTTAATTTATTACTGAAGTGTAGTTTTCGCAATTAAATAAGGGAAAAGATTTAGAAATAATTTATTTTGGATCAAATAAAGTGAATTGTGCGATCACATTTAAAACATTACAGGTGTAATATTAACACAATGCTCTAATTACGCTTTAGTCAAGATTTATTTTACTGTGATGTAATAAATGGTGTTACGAATTTTTTAACCGTTCTTATATAACGCTTTATAAGGATAAGAATATTTTATGGATAAGAAAGTTGCTAATAAAAAAATATTATATTCCTATGTATTAATTTAGGATTTTACAGTAATGTGTGGTACATGTATCGAATTTTATTTAATTTGTTTAGCTGTCTATAAGTGTTTGGATAACAAATATACAAAAATCTTTACAAACTTTGAAATTTATAATATCAGTTTTAAAAGAATTTTACAGTATATATCTAGATACCTAAAATATTAATGAAATTGTAACTTTACAATTTATTTATAATCATCATATCAGCTGTTAAATGTCCACTGCTGAACATACGTCTCATCCATATGGAGGATTTTACTAGTAATTGCTACGGTTGGCAGGCGGGTTGACAACCGTAGTTAAGCTTTTGGAGATATTTGAAAAGGGACGCTGCTGCACATCTCTCGACTATTAAGATCCCTTAGCCGCCTCTTGTGACGTCTACAGGAAAGAAAAGGGTGGCCCATTGTATGCCGGGAGCACACGGTATATAATTTACTTATAATACAGTAGACAAATGTTTATGATTGTGTTTTTATCATAGTTTTTTTGGTCTATTATTTTTTTATGCAACTCAGAATGGCAAACAAGCTGACGACCCACCTGATGGAAAGTGGTAAATATCGCCTATAGATATGAGCAGTATCATGGACATAACAGAGTATATTGTTTCGCCCATGATACTCCCCATGCGTTACCATTCCTGAGGACTCAGGTGTTATTCCTCTATACCCTGTAAATTCACTGCTATATCCCATCCTTCAAACTGAAACACAGCCATGCAAATACACAGCTTTACAGTAGAAACACGAATGTGACAGCGGTGCCCAAGCAAACGACTTTTGTACAAAGTCTCCCTCTGGTGAATTATAGATATATATTAAGTAGGAATCTCTTAATAACTAATTACTTAATTCCTATCTATTAATTACTACCTATATGTATTACATATTAAACAAAAGACAAAATAACAAAGTAACAGATTCAGTTATAAATCAAAAGCTCCATTTCAATTTAGCAGAATAAAAACACACGTGGGGGCAATAAATTGTGGGAGAGGCGAATTAGTGCCGATGTATGTCTAACCGCAACCGAGCGTGGCCCGATTTAATTTGCGGCTTCGTTGCATTGTTCCAGTCGTTGGAGGAGTTCACGTTGTTTTTGTGTAAACCTAACGACTTGTTTTACCGTTCAAGATTTTCTTCGTGATTTGCAAATGAATCACCTAATTCGAGAATGGTAGTGCATTTCGATCGGTTCGAGAATATTGGTCTCGAGCATAGAATACGTAATGATTTAAGTTCAATATTACCAACATCGCCTCGGTAGGGTTTTTCGTGCCAAAATAAATATATTCAGGATTATTTAACCTCTAATGCGATAGTCAAAGATATTGGTCGTGACAAATATTTTAATAATTTTCAATATATTATTTTAAACTTACTGACCCGGCAAACGTTCTTTTGCCTTTTATAGGTTACATTTTACTTACCGGAGTGAAAACTACGAGTAACTTATTATATTTCTCAATATAAAGCATATAACATTATTATAAAATATAATTAAAAGTTAGCTATTTATATAGAGATTAGCGAGAACGAATATTTTGAAACGAGATTTTTATATATTGACGTTGGCGGCCCAAAACAGAGAGTTATGTAAAATTTGTTGAAAATGCTGTTTGTGATTCGTGCACTCATATTAAATATTAAAACTATGTAGTAGGTATTATTAACACTGGTTGTACATAGAATATCGCAAGAGATGATCAAGAAAAAAAACAGTGGAAAAAAGTATGTACTGAAGATAATGATGTGTATTGTTTCTAATGACAATTTCTACTAGTCTTTCAAATAGTGAATAATATATAACAATAAGTAATAAGTAACATGTACCATATACGTATATAGGTATTTGGACATAAATTTAATAATTCAGAGATTTAAGTTGCAATCCAATCTTCGAATCTCCGGACCGCAGTCAACAGAGCTGTCCTCGTTCCAATATTTTTTGACAGATGGTTTTTCTGCTTCCTTTTATAAAACTTGCATATTAAAGACTCGTTGCTCTGAGCTTACTGTGGTAAAATGACAAATTATTTCATTCATTAGACTATGTTCTCTTTCTTTAGGATCTTTTTATATCCGTCGGCTAATTTAGATAGGTATCTGGAGTGACAGTAGGCGTCTGGGAATTTGTATAGGCCGTTTATTCCATTGTGACTTTTATCTCCGGTGTTATAAGGTACAAATGGCCAAAAGTTAATTATGCCTATGGTTAGAATATTGTTGTTATTTGGGATTATTTTTGAATGAAAGGTTAGAGTGAACTGAAGCGATAAGAAGTTCCATATTTTGGAAAGGAAGCAAAGTTAAATACTGTTACAAATTTAATACCATCGTTATATTTTAGTATCTTATAAAATTTAAGAAAGTTGTACTCATTTTATTTATACGCTTATAAAAATTTTTATAATTTTTATTTTGATTATATATTATATACATACTCCAAAATATTATATAAATAATATCTAAAATTAACTTAAAACTCTATTTAGTATTAGTCATATCACATACCTAGACAATAATGTTTATTTTAGTTTACTATGTAAATAATACATATAATAATATATTTTGAATTTTATTGTACTTTTGTGGAAAATTGCTATTTATAATTAATATACATGTACATACCAACACGAGATACTTCATTTTTCTGTGTTTATATTTTATGTAAATTATCCTGCTAACTGCGGTTGCCAATCCGCTTGCCAAGCATGGTAACTACTGAAAAAACCTAGGGGGAGGCTAATGTTCAGCAGTGGACAGTTGAAAGCTGATATGTTGATGATGATGATGATGATGATCCTATAATGTATGAAAATGATCTACCGGTATAAAGCCAAAAAATTTATTGTATGTGAGTTATTCTTTATTAGTACAGAATAGAATATATGGATAATTTTGACTAATTGAGCTACCAACGCAAATCTTAAATAACTTGGATTACAAATTTCAAACTTTTAATGTAACGTAAGGCATCTAATAAGGAAAGTTTTTTTTTGGGAAAACAGGTTTGGGAGCACCAAGCCATGGGAAAATATACAAAATTGACTAATACGAGTATAAAAAGTCGACAGGAATTTTGGATAAAACGGATTATCACTTTAAACTAATAATTAGTTTTGTATTATTAGGATATATGTTGCAAACTCGTAAATATTTTTATAGATTTTATTTTTATACTTTTTTGTTTTTACAATTGTTACTTTGATTTTTTCGCTGTCGTAGTCTGTTCTCCGTAGTTTTCTTTATTATAGCTATTTTCCTTTAAACTTTAAATACATCAACACACAGTCCATAATATCGCTCGCAATATATGTTGAGGTTATTGCAATAAATAATGGTAATTATGATGAAAGCAATATAATAGAATTATTTATATTGATAATTAAATTTAATCAACTGTAAATTACTAAAAAATTATGAAGTACAATAAGTCTTCGTGACGTAAACACATTATATAGCAGGGTGCTTGTATGTTGAGTCTGTGTGCTGAATGACAATTAAATTACTGTTTCGAGATGAGCGGCCATGACCTATCTTTGGGACGACATGGCAGTAATAGCTATCATTATTCATTAAAATAAAATATTAAATAATTTTTATTAACTATTTCATATAAATAAATATATCAAAAAGAATTAACTATGAAAAATTGCCCATTAAGGGAACAATTGTAAGTCATGATATAATCATTTTTGGACGTCAGAAAATTTATTTATATGTATACATAGTAGGTATCTTAAAATATTGATATTTATTGGGAACTAATTTGTTAAGTCGTCACTTATTTCAAATATTAATAAATGCGAGATATAAACTGGCCAAATTTAATAGGTACACGGACAATTACTAAATAATAACAATTTTTATTAATTATTTATTAAAAAGTAAGTTATAAGAAATTGCAAATTCTTAGATAATAATTACTAATCATAACATACAGTTTTTATGAATAAATATGGATGAAATATAAAAATTAAATTACGATTAAATAGTTATTGGTCTAATTATGTTGTGGTCTTCTTTATGACTATTATTTATATATAAGATGCAAACAAGCTGACGGTTCACCTGATGAACAAGTCAAGTAATAACAATCGCTTATAGCTGCTTATAGACATGAACAGTATTGTAGATGTAACCGAATACACTGATTCTTACTTATCTATCCGTTATTTAACATGTAATTTCTAAGACAACATTAAAGTACGATTACTAAGTAGTACGTAGTACAGTACTTTAACTCACGTTATTAAAATACGGGTAAATTTGAATGTCATATATATGTATTAATCGTCATAGCAGAGACAGTGTCATAACAAATCTCCGTGAAGTCCTGGGTGGGAAGCGGCTGCCTATATTGCAAACGAGCTCGGCCGGGCTCACTTGTTGCTCGGATCGATCGGCCTCCTACGGCCGTACTCGATTCTACTCCACGTTTACATTATAAGTGCCGCATGGATATATGCTGATTGCCTACTTTAAACATTCTGTTTCTTATATTGTTCAAGACAAGACGAATGTGTACATTTAAATTTATATACAATTAATTTAATTTATATCTATTTAATAAATGTAATAGAAAAATCTTGAATACATGGGTATTTATTAGAGAGGTCATAAGAATTAGTAGATACCTAAATATTTAATCTGTATATAAAAATATACAGATATCTAGATAGTTGTAGGTAATATTAAATTTATGGTTATTATTAGTGAAAAATTGTTAAGAATATGGATTTACTATTTTTTTTTTATTTAAGAATTAATTACACATTTTGAAATTAGATTTTAAACTGTCTATATTTTTTATGTGTGTGCTCTACACTGATGAAAGTCTCTGATGTGATTTATCGGACGACGTCTTAATAAGCCGTCTGAAGTACGAGGTGATAATTATTTTCAAATAATCTAAACATGTGTTTTCAATGTGAATTGTTCTATAAATAAAATGTTTATTTTGTGAACTTATTTTCATTTATTGTATTAAAATTTTACATTTCTATATCCGGTTTATGGAAATTGCTTTTAAAATATGTGAATACAATATGAACTAGAACTATTAAAACGAAAGCTATAAAACGAAATTTCCTATATTCAATATTTAAAATATTTTCCTTCTATGTTCCACTGGGATGGAACGCTTTGTAGCATTATTAAAATGAGAGTCTTCAGATGCTGATATTTCTATTAGGTAAATATGTTCAAAGTCGTTCATGTTTAAAAACTTTACGGTTATTTATCGTTTCAGGTAACACAGTTCACTGTAAGTGGGAAAAGTTTGCGTCGACAGTGCGACTCGCTTGTTTGAATAAATTTCTTCATCTAGAATTGGCGCCAGCTACTCGTACTAATGTGCTCCTTATAACTTATGTTAATAACTGTTTACTAGGAAAACGACTGCATCTTAATGCGTTTATTTGCATTTATGTTTGAATCTTATAGTGACGGAGATGATATAAATAATGACATTAGGTAAATTTTTATTTATATCACAAATGTAAAACTGAGTTTGTTTATAAGCGTTTGGTGCTTAACTCCTTAATGGCTCAAGTAATTGTTTTGAAAATTGGTATACGTATACGAGTAGTATGTGTATAGTATTTTATTTAGAATTTTCTTTCTTTTACATTGTGTGAGTATTGTAATATGCTATTGTATATATATTCTTTATTGCATTTGTAAATTACATTGTTAATGCATTTATAAATATTGCGAGCGAGGGTTGACTTATCTCTGACAGAGATCTCTTCCAGTCAACTCAATGCAGTTAGAAAACATGTTGATAGCGGGCAGCTGAAGTGCTACAACTATTAATATTTAGAGTACATAAACAAATATACAGTTAAATAAAATATTAAGATACATAATAAAATATTACATAAATACATATACTATAAATAAATATAATACCTACCTACTTATACAATGAATGTTAAAATAAATGAATATACTATCTACAATAGAAATTTAGTTGAAATGATTTTAAGGTTTGACAGTTAACTTTTAATAATAATTAACTTTTAGAATATGGATACGAGGGATTTAATAAAATTGTAACATGTTGTATTCTTATTGGATGGGTAAATATCGCCTAATCTTTTATTAATGATGTAATTTTAATAAATTTAATCTACGCGCTTTAATAACGCAAAATTTTGTAAGAATGGTGGTATTTTTTTACTCAACGATTTTCAATATAATTTGGTATGTGTATAGGTTATAACCTAAATTAATACATAGGATACTTTACACATTGATCCACGAGGGCAAAGTCATTAAAAACAAGCTAGTAAGCTGATAGTTAAGTACTTACTTGGTATCCTATTGATAGCTCGCAACGGCCGTAATACCCGGATTGTCCTTATCGCCGATAGGTTGATATTTTCCACGTTTAAGGAATACTCCAAAGCTCTGAGGAAAAATAATACATTGTTCACTCGGGGCCGGAAATGACCGATTACCAACGAGTGTGGCGTTTGATGTCCGAGTCGAAGGCAAGGACATCAAATCACACGACATGAGAATTTCACTTTATCCCGGATAATAGAAAGTGTTATATATCGCAACTACGAGGAAATTATACACCAAGTTATTTATCTTATATATATGTATACACATTTTTATTAAGGAATTATGTACATGTTTTTTAAACAATGTTTAATATATATATATATATATATATATATATATATATATATATATATATATATATATATATATATATATATATATTTAATATAGGGGGGAAAGGGATTGTGAGTAATGGAGACTGAGAATCCTATTGCTAGCAATATACCCAACCAGGTCGACCTCCTCGCGGTTCTCCCTGGAAACGATCATGGTTAATTCCTGACGAATTCATCATGATGGGCTAACTGGCCTGTTTTCATTGTCATCTATTACCCTTCACTGGTGCTCCGTCAGTGTATCCCGTTAGCGCAGGCGGGGTTACCATACCATTATTACCCATAAAAAAAAAATATATATATATATACCTACCTCCAAAATCAAAGCGTATGAAGTTGTGATTATGTTAGATAGAACTATTGAAAGCAATATATAGGTATATTAATATATTATATATTTCGTATTATGCTTTATCGAACAGTGGATTATATATTAATAAATTAATCTTGAATGTTTTCTCTAATCTCTGGCAACTTTAAATTAATCTTCACTTTTATTAACTAAGAATGCTGTCAATAGACGTTTTTTTTTTAATAGCAGATTACTAAGTAGCACTGGCATATTTAGTAACGTAAAGTAGAATGTTAGTAGATTACAGTCAACGTAAACTGTTATAAAAGCTTCGAAATATAAAAATTACCCATTAATATTTGTTATACTTAATAATTAATATTATCTTTTATGTAATAACTAATAATGATATGCTTGTAGTACAAAGTCAAAAAGTCTTACCCAGCCATCACGATGAAAAAATCTAATCTGTTCCATGAATCCGCTAAATAAGTGCCGTGTCCATAAACACCCATTGCCACCATTTTAATTGTCATCTCCAGTGTAAAAAATGCAAATATTATGTCATCAAATACCTGAAAATGTAAGTATATATTAGCAGAACCAGATAAAGATTAAAAATAAATAGCCGACTGCATAATTTGGCGCGTAAAAATAAAAGAATGTCGAACATTTTTTTTTTTTATGGTGTTTGCAATAAATTTATAAACGGCCAGTGTTTACAAAAGTAACATCCAATTATTTTTAAGTGGTCATTATTTTTCTTCTATGAAAAAAAAGTTAAATTGAAATTTAATATTTTTACAAATATATATATTTTCATAAATTACATATTTGTTTAAATAATATACACTTATAATTAAAGGAATTTATTATTCCATATTCTTTAAACAATTTGTAATAACAAATCCGCTCACCGGGTGAAATGTGGTAACCGTTGTCTATAGATATGAACATCATAGAAAACACTGTGGTACTCATCATGGTATCCATAAGTATTTTAGTAATAAATTCAATAATATTAATATAATTAATTAATTAATTTTATATTTTAATTCAGTACAATTGAAAATTTCTTACCTGAAGAATTTTACATCTGTTGGTTACACATTGGTCATCAACGCAGGGTTGGTACATGCCTAAGGTTACGCAGTTCAGAAGAATCACCAGCATGGATATTCTCTCGAACCATGTGCATGGGTGGTTAAGGGTATTTATTACCGACTGATACAATTTTGTTGTTTATTTCAACAATGTGCAAATACTGCCAGGCGGATTATGCAGTTTAAAACATTTTATAAAAATCTATTGCATTCTAATCTATTCTGCATTCTAATCTATAATATATAATTTGAGAAAAGCAACATTAATCGTAATAAAAACAATATTATTTTAAAAATAAGTATCAAAATAAGTTCATTATAGAAATTAAGAAAGGTACTGCTTATGTGTGTATATACAAAGAAATACAGATGAATTGAGCATTTACTCTTTTATGAAGTTGTTTAATTTAAATTATAAATATAAAAATTTAAATTATAAAATGAGTGATCAATTTTATTAATAAAATATATATTGTTCATAGTGTAATTCATTTATATTTGATTTTATGGTGGAAATAAATTGTTGTTCTAAATTATTATTATTTTGTGTTAATAGTCATATAGGTGTTATAAAATATCCGTATTATTATTACATATTATTTGTATTTAGATGAACCGGACTCCATATCACCTAAAATACCATATGTTTAATCTGAAGCGAATCCCATACAAAATTACCTACTTTAAATTTTTTGGTTTTTCAATCTAACTTTACGGTTTTCAGACTTTTTTCTTTTAATCCACCCTGTTATTATAATGTTTATAAATAAAAAAAGAAATATTTAAATCGTATAAGTCGTTTTTGAGCTTTACGGAGACTAGTAATTGATTTTTATTATTATTGTTTAGATATCAAATGTTTATGATTATAGTAGATCATTTGCCCATTTTTGTATTAAATTATATTTTGGAAATACGTAAAAATAAATTATTTATAAAAAAGATAGGGGATACAATAACAATAAGAGATGATATTAAATAATGTTCAATTTTCTTAAGTCTTATCATTTAGAGACTCGAGTTCGCAGTCGGACTTCCTAATTGATTTTTAAGAGTCCTCGATTCCTCCTAAATATCTTAGATCCCTTTCGGGTACAATTTCAAGAGATCATTAGATTGCTATCAAAAACGATATATATCGGCAAAGTTTTAAATTGGCCAGTTATAAAAATACTTTAACTGGAAACGTAAAGTACCACTTTACATTTATCACACAGTAGTGTATATATATTAATGCTAGCAATGCACTTTGGAACATTTTTGACATTATTATTTAATAGCTTCTTCTAGTTTTGAAACTGAAAATTCTATACCTACCTATATAGATACAATACCAAATGTCAGTACGCAAGTTAGAGGCGACACTGCTCTTATTTTGTAAAAACTGAAAAATGAATCTAAGTAACCATCTAGAACTATCAATACAATAAAATAAATTAATATTAGTAGTATTGTATATACAATTGTTATTTATAATATACCTTTATCAAAAATATCGATATTATAATTATCAAGTACGTAAAAGACTTAGCTACTTTAAAATGTATTTTTTTTAAATTGAAAGAACTGATTTCATAGATTTGTTTCAAATGTTTTTATTTTCAGTGACACGGGCCTGAATCCATATCTGATCTAATGATATGTAATACTCTTAGGTAACAATATATGTTCATCTAATATTATTTTACTCTTAGATTTAACTATTTAAAGTGTTAAGTAAACATCCAATTGGCTATTTTATAACTAGTGATCCGATTTGGCTTCGTATAGGTAGATAGAAATTTCGAAGATAGTTAATGTTATTCGCTGATTATTTAGCTTTCTATAAAGGTAAAAGAATTTACAAAGTCGGTAAAGAAGTTTTGAGTTTATCTATTAAGACATTATTACAAAGAGTAAAATATTTATTTTTCATGATTTTAGTATATAAGCATAGATAAAGTAAATTATTATATTAATGAAATAAATAGACAAATCAGATTAGTATTTGACCATTTAAATAAAATTTTTGCATGGAAAAATATTCATAAATCCTTTCCCAAGAACCACAAGGAAATCATAAACTAAGAAGAATGGCGAACGAATAAAAAAGTAAGTTATTTGCATCAACAATAGCTAGAAAGTAGCGTATTCATCGGTGTTTAAATAATGGGCTTACTAAATGGCCCGCTATTATTCTACCTGAAATAATAGGAGCCACAATACCCGAACTCATTATCGGGCCAGTTTTACATAGTAATATTCATTGCTTACTGAATTTTACCTTGCAACAATTAGTGTATGCGAAAATTTCCAACATATACATTCTACTAATATTATACACGTGAAAATTTGTAAAATTGGATGTTTGGTACTCAGTTAAGCTTAAATGACTGAACACATTTGAATGAAGTTATTTACACGGATAGATTATACCTTAACTTTATATTTTATTTATTCATTTACGTTAGTCGACTTGCGGGAAATGGTATAATTTTGTGAGTATTCACAAATTTACTGTTACAGATATTGTAACATCTTAGTGAATTTGAAATAAGTATATATAAGTTATTTAATGAGATCAAAAAGCATTTCTACTACTACAAAATACTAATAATAATTACTATAAAATTTGGTATACACGTACTGTATAGAATCGAGAAGAATATGAAATAATTTTTATGTCAGTCACTTTTTTAGGTCACGTGGATGAAGTCACAAGTAAAAGCTAGTTGGAGAATAATATTTTTAATACTTAGAGAGTCGCGCTTCATTTATCTGCGATTTTTTCTACGTGATCAGGACAATGATTGATCGGGATAAAAAATAGTCTGTCTCTTTCCGTTTGAAATAAAGCGAGATTACATATATTTCATAACCATTGATAGTGTAATTAAGCCGTCAAAAGGTATTAAAAACACTCTGTAATATTTAGAATATTAGTAAGGATTTTAATGTATTTTTACTACAACAATAATGCACCGCCTACTTCTCGGTTTGTCCAATGATTGCCTGATAGAGAACACCGTCCGTGCATTAAAGTTTAAATAATAAAAAAAATATCTATGACAATGTTTTATGGTGGTGTGCTATCCACTGCCTTGTATAGCCATTTTATACATCTATGGTACTTAACTATATCCATCAATTGAATACGTATGTGTGTAGGGAGGAAACACCTTCATTAGAAGGAATACATACAATTGAAAGCGTTTCCTTGTATGTTGTGGAGAAAGGTAACGTAGCATAATGAAGTTAAAAATATATATTTACCAAACTTAATGGTCAAGGGATGGGCAGTATCATCTCTCTTGCTACAGGTGGGGGGGGGGGGGGGGCACATTCACCAGTGGACAATTAACGGCTGATATGATAATGATTATATTTAGGTTTAAACAACACGCTAGCGATTGTTAAGTAGGTATTTATAGCGAGTAATAGAGGCGGGCTATATATAGACATATCTATATATTGTAATTATATATTATCTCATTAAGGGAGGTATTAAAAAATTGGTTATCCAATGCATAATATCGAAATATAGATAGGTCTCAAAGCGGTATCCATATTATCCATGCCTGCTGTCTACGCACATAAGGAGAACTAACGTTCTCCACCTAGCAACACCGTTCAATAAAAAAAATATTGGTGATCGAAACAGAATAGTAATCTGTAGTCTGTAGTGTAGTATGACAGTGTTAGTTTTACAATAATTAAAATGTTTGTATGTACTTCATATGATCTATCAATAATTGTAAAATTATTTGTTGTCCCAAATAAGTAAATAAATATCATGTTTGTAAGTTAACAATAAGATTAAATAAGAACTTCCAACACCTACTGTTTATTGTTGACAACGCGCGGGTGATAGCTCAGGCAATGCAGCCATTCACAGGCTGCATTAAGCGGTTTGTAAAGTATGTCCTGTTAAGACATGATAACAAGGAAATATATATAAATGAATAAAATAAATGCTAAATTGTTACATTCGGTGTATTAAAAAAAATAAGAAGAGAAGTCAGTTTATAATATGGATATGTATAACAATATGATATATATAATATGTATAACAATAAAATATGTATTATTGTTTTAATATCATTTACCAGAGGGAGACTCTGTACAAAAGTCGTTTGCTTGGGCACCTCTACCCCATTCGTGTTTCTACCGTGAAACAGTTGTGTTTGCATGTCTGTATTTCGCTTTGAAATGTGGGATATAGCAGTAAATTTACAGGGTACAGAGAAATAACACCTGAGTCTTCAGGAATGGCAGCGCATGGGGGGTATCATGGGCGAAACAGAATATTCTGTTATGTCTATGGTACTGCTTATTTCTATAGGCGACGGTTAGCACTCTCCATCAGCTTGTTTGTCATTCTAAGTTGCATAAAAAAAATATTAATTAATATAATAATAATGAACAAATACATAATCAGAACGATTATTAATAATGATATACAAAATACGCTATAAAGCAATTATTTTTTCATTACGTGCTCTTCACGTTCCGTTACAATTAGTATATGGGATCTTTATAATATGAAAATGTATACGTCGATACGCATTACTCATAATAGGGTAAATGTAGAGTAGATGCCACCCATATCTTTCATTAAAATTTCTTTAAATATTAATAATCCAAAATTAAAACATAATTGTAGGGGCACTTTAACTTGTTAAAGTAATGAATTATAAAGGTAGACATGAAATAAATTGTTAACGAGAAGAGGCCCATATAAAATAAGATTAATTGAATCCTTATATGTCTAATGTGTGTAAATATCACAGTCCATTATTATCAATAAGAAATCAGGTGAATATAAACAAGAATATATTGTTTTTGGAAATAAAAAACAATTTTATTTAATTTGTAAATAGAAATAATATGCCAGCTGTGTGTTCTTTCATATATCATTTTCTAAGCACCTAAATATTTAAAAAAAACTTTAAAAAGAATCAACATTTTATGACTTGCAATTTCTCATGGGTTAGAGTGAGATTACTCATACGCTCATATCATAAATCAAGCAGACTTAATTTGTATACTGTTATATTGCTTTGTAAGCGTTTTATAACGATATAAATTTTGATTACAATACGTGGTAG